AATGTACAGCTACATGTGTTGAAAATAGAGTCTATGCACAACTACATGTGTTAGAAATAGATTCCTTGCACAGCTACATCTGTTGGGAACATAGTTCATGTACAACTTCATGTGTTGAGAATAGAGTCAATGTACAGCTACATGTGTTTGGAATAGAGTCCTTGTACAACTACACGCGTTGGAAATAGAGTCCATGTACAGCTACACGTGTCTGAAATAGAGTCCTTGTACAACTACACGTGTTGGAAATAGAGTCCTTGTACAACTAAACGTGTAGGAAATAGAGTCCGTGTACAGCCACACGTGTTGGAAATAGAGTCCTTGTACAACTACACGTGTAGGAAATAGAGTCCTTGTACAGCCACACGTGTTGGAAATAGAGTCCATGTAAAGCCACACGTGTTGGAAATAGAGTCCACGTGTTGGAACATGCGTATCAGACAAAAATTAGGAATTGCCATCTTTGATTATTTCGACCTCTAATCTGGTTAGAGTCAAATCGATTGAATTTATGAACGCATCAACATGAACAAAATGATTCCAAAGATTACTGAAAAGATAAGAGTATAAAAGTTTTCATCTCAACTTTGTGAATTTTTTACTTATTTTCACTTCACGGATTGAGGAAATATCTTCTAATATTTTTTAACATTTAAATTATTTGTTAACGTACATTATTATTTCAAATGATTTGATTATAATTTAAAATATAGATTATGTTTAAAAATTGAATCATTTCATTTATGGTTTTAGGAGGAAAAAATGTTTCATTGTCTAAATATTTTTTCTTTTTGCTTAAATCTTGGGTTCTTATTAAATAACGGATTAGAGTGAAAACATTACTCAGAAAACTTATGATAAAAACTACAAAAGTGGGATTTGACAGGATAATATAGGGTAAAATGTGGAATTTAAGAAGGGAAAAAAGAACATAGGACAAGGAAAAAAATTGTTAATTAGAAAATAATACTCGGTTACATACTTGTATATAGTAGTTCATAAAAAAATTGTTAGGACCCCACTGGAATTTTACTAGCTTAATTTGAACATTTTAACTAGAGTACTTTTATGGAGAAAGTTCAGTATTCAGACAAAGCTGGGTTCCCAAGCTAGTTTCTTATGAATTAATAAAAATAATATAATTCTGTTTATAATAGCAAAAGGATATACCTAGTATTAAAAAGATTTTCAAGTACAATAGACGGCAACGCAGAAAGCGTACACTCTCAGAACAGCTGTATCTACGTCACAGATGTCAACTCAATTTCTGTGTGTGACAAAATTGGTTAAATTTTCTGTTGCCATCTATCATTCAATGACAATCTATTTGCCTCTCATTGCTGTTTAAATGCTATTTCTCGATATAACAACTATTACAACTAGTAATTGGAAACCTAGATAAGGAGTTAGGGGTGGGGGAACGGGCGAAGGCAGGCAGCCATGAGCCACTACTATTTCCCCTTCCGTTCCACATATTAGCTTTTTTCTCTTCCGGCAGCCATGAGCCACCACTATTTCCCCTTCCGTGCCAACACATTTGACTCTTCAGGGCAAAACTACTTTTTTAAATGGTAAATTTAAGGCCTTTAACGTGTGGTTATAAAAAATCCAGCCGCGTCACGCAAAAAGGCAAAACTCAAACCATTTTTAAATTCTACTTAAGATTAATATTTTGTGTGTTGAATTCTTAAACTGTTTTACAATGAAATTTTTGAAAAATTTAACTGAGTATTGCATCTTGAAATATCTCAAAGTCTAATGATTATTCAATTACTGACTCATTATACTAAATCCATCTTAAAATCACTCATTAACCAACTTGATTAAAAGTTACAAAAAAAACATTAATGATATTTAGCAAAATAAAAAGACAGAGCATACAAACAGATAGAATATACATACAGATAGAAAATTCAAACAGATATAATACACAAACAGATATAATATACATTATAAACAGATAGAACATATAAACAAATAAAATATAGACACAGATAGAATATTCAAACAGATAGAATATACAAACAGATAGAACATACAAACAGAAAAATATACAAACAGACAGAATTTACAAACAGATAAAATATACAAACAGACAGAATATACAAACAGATAGAATATACAAACAGAAGAATATACAAACAGAAAGAATTTACAAACAGATAAAATATACAAACAGACAGAATATACAAACAGATAGAATATACAAACAGATAGAATATACAAACAGATAGAATATACAAACAGATAGAATATACAAACAAATAGAATATACAAACAGACAGAATATACAAACAGAAGAATAAACAAACAGACAGAATTTACAAACAGATAAAATATACAAACAGACAGAATATACAAACAGATAGAATATACAAACATATAGAATAAACAAACAGATAGAATACACAAACAGACAGAATTTACAAACAGATAGGATATACAAACAGACAGAATATACAAAAAGATAGAATATAAAAACAGATAGAATATTCAAACAGATAGAATATTTAAACAGATAGAATATACAAACAGATAGAATATTCAAACAGATGGAATATTTAAACAGATAGAATATTTAAACAGATATAATGTACAAACAGATATAATATTCAAACAGATAGAATATTTAAACAGATATAATATTTAAACAGACAGAATACACAAACAGACAGAAAATAAATACAGACAGAATTAATAAAAAAGAAAGTATAAAATATATATTTGACAAATGAAAATATTGTGAAGGAGAATGAATATTTCAACCATTTCTTAATTAAAATCAAGGAAGGATTCCCTTGACAATCCATTTATTAGATTCTTGTTTAATAATAAAATATATTTTAATTTATTAAATTGAATTAAATATATTAAAGCTGTCAGACCAACAGTATATTGCAAGGTAGGTTTAGGAATACACTAACAGGAATTGTTCAGATATTTACAAAGGATTTGCAAGTTTTATTTAATGGTTTTGTAGAATATTTTTAAACTTTGCGCATTTTCTGTGCAGTTGTCCTTGTCGTTTTTAAGTGAGAATCAACGTAAAAAAGTCTTTCTCACCTCTCAAAGTAAAAGATATAAAATATTTCGTTCAGAGTTTGCAAACTATTTCGCGAAAAATAGTTTTGTGAAATTAATTGCACAAAAAAGATTATGGAATTATCTGCTCTTGAGCTCAGCATTAGAAGTTTTATTATATCATAATTAATATTTTTTCCCCCAAATTGGCATGTGTTTATTGCAAAAGTTTTCGCATTTTTGCATTTTTCGCGAGCGATTGAAATGAGAAAAAATACGAAATTTAAAAAAAACTTTTTATGGTATAATTAATGGGCAAGTTTTTGAAAAATACTACTTTCGTATGGAAATTGATTTTTGAAATAGTTTTTGTTATAAAAGGAGTCGAATCATTATTTATATTAAATCTTGGATCTTGAATCTTGAATCTTGAATCTTGAATCTTGAATCTGAATCTTAAATCATAAATCTTAAATCTTGAATCTTAAATCTTGGTCTTAAATCTTGAATCTTGAATCTTGAATCTTGGATCTTGAGTCTTAAATCTTGAATCTTGAATCTTGAATCTTGGATCTTGGATCTTGGATCTTGAATCTTGAATCTTGAATCTTGGATCTTGAATCTTAAATCTTGAATCTTGAATCTTGAATCTTTAATCTTGAATCTGAATCTTAAATCTTAAATCTTGAATCTTGAATCTTGAATCTTGAATCTTGAATCTTGAATCTTGAATCTGAATCTTAAATCATAAATCTTAAATCTTGAATCTTAAATCTTGGATCTTGAATCTTGGATCTTGAATCTTGAATCTGGAATCTGGAATCTGGAATTTTTTATATTAAGCTCTAAATCCTATTTTTACAATAGTCAACAGTACGTTTAAATAATTCAGAAGTATAATTTAAAGCTTCTGAAATTTAAATGTTTCCTACACAATTTAACATGAAATCTTAAAATGTCGAGATATCTCAAATGATTTAATATAATTGAATCTATTTAAACACATTAATAAAATTGATATTTGCATGTATGTAAAAACAATGAAAAGTTTATTACAGCGAATACTTTAAAAGACGAAGATAAAGAATTTTATATTTGACGAGTGATTATTGGGTTCAATTTTATTCACAGTGTGTCCCAACAGTGTGTCCCAACAGTGCGTCCCAACAGTGTTTCACAGTGTGCCTCAACAGTGTGTCACAGTGTGTCTCAACAGTGTGTCCCAACAATGTGTCACAGTGTGTTCCAACAGTGTGTCACGGTGTGTCCCAACAGTGAGTCACTGCAGTGTGTCCCAACAGTGTATTACAGTGTGTCCCAACAGTTTGTCCCAACAGTGTGTCAAGTGTGTCCCAAGTCCCAACAAACATTGGAATCAGACGCCGCCTTAAAGATCGTCTTTGGTTTCCGATAAAGGGCAAAATACAGGTTGTGCATCGAAAAGGTTTTTTAGAAAAGAATTGACTGAAATATTATAAAATTAAATATTTTATATTTACTTAAATAATTCAAAATCTTGTCAAATATTTGGACAGCTGATACTGTCAAGTAGTTTCTGATAGCAGTATTCATAAAATCTTTATAAATATAATGTTTATAGTTTATCAATAGAATTGAATTGGATAAATCTATTCAGAGCTGTCACGCACTCTTGGATATTCACAGGGGCGCGTCACTAAAAGACTACCCCTGTGTTTCCCAATGAACATGATTATTTATGAAGGTTTTTGAAGGATATCTTTCGGATATGGTAATTTTTCTATGTTAATGTCAAGAAGACGAACATTCATCTGTTGATTTGAGAAGTTACAAAATATGATGGGGTCACATGGCAGTGTCTTTAACTTTATCGTAAATGTAAATTTAAGAAGAAATATAAAGAAATAGGGTAACAGCAATGTCATTTTTGAGTGCCAAAAATCTCAAAGATTCATCTCAACATTTCCAGAGGGTAGGGTTACCTTGACCCCCCTTCCATTCTTAAACGCCCCTGATAATTTAAAATGCCTGAGAATTTGCTTTTTAGTATTTAATGCAGTTCAGCAGGATGTTTCAAGGGGGGAAGTTCAGAACAATATCTGTAGTCGCCCCTGAGCAGAAATCTGTAGTAGCCCCAGGGCAGAAATCTGTAGTCGCCCCTGGGCAGAGATCGTTTGTCACTCCTGGGCAGAGATCTGAGATATTTGTAGTCGCCCCTGTGCAGAGATCTGTAGTCGCCTCTGAGCGAAGATCAGTGGTTACTCCTGGGCAGAGATCTGTAGTCGCTCCTTGGCAGAGATCTTTAGTCACCCCTGGGCAAAGATCAGTAGTAGCCCCTATGAAAAGATCCTACATACTGCTATTTTTTATGATTTACCTTTTCCCCCATGTGACATCGAATTCATCATCTCCCCAAGAAACAAGAAACAAGTAGGTTTACTTATTATTTATTTAGTACCTAAAAGGGACTGTTAGGGTAAAATGAGATGGTGAATAGGCTAAAGTCTAAACATTTTATGAGTTGATCGCGAACGGGGAATAAGGGTAATACAGACTTGTTAGTAATAAAATTTTCATAATTGAGACCAGTTTTAAAATCTACGTACAGTGAAACCCTTAATAATGAATACATCGGAAGAATTTATCAAATGTCGTCTTGACAATTTTTCAATGATTTTTATACTATATTACGTAAATTTCAGTATTTGTGAAAATAAATGATTAGCCATGAATATGCGGGAACAGTTTTAAAGAGTTCCATATAATCATTTAATTAAAAAAACTAAATATCTACAACATTCCATTATCAGAAAGTGAAGAATTCTTGATGAATTCTTTCGATGTATTCGTTATTAAGGGTTTCACTGTATAATTTCCGATTCAGTGAGGTCAGTATTAGTAGATATAAAAATGACAATAGTATAGGCCCCTAAAGTTTCCAACTAGAGAGATGGAATTTGGTAAAAATAAAGATAATCTCCGTTTGTACAATTTTGTAAAAGGGTCTACTACAGACTGTAATCGGATTTTCTAGATTGAGACCATTTTTGATATCTAAATACAATTTTCAATTCAATGAGCCCATTTTAGGCTTGTAGATTTAAGAATAATAGAAACACCTTGAAAATCAGATTACAAACGAGTCTGTAAGACTCTTATTTCCCGTATTTTTTTTAATCACCTTGTATAAATATTGATCATTAGGTTACTATTTCAAGAGGAGAAGATATGGCAAGAGGTTTTACTTCAGAATATTAATTCTATTGCAGAACTGACCCGACAGGTAGTTTCATATACCATACTTAAGGTGGTGTAACAAACCGCCAAAATATTGCAGAACAAAAGGTTGATAATAGATAACACGTTATAATTACAGTTATTTTTTATAGAATTCGTTTCATTTTTCTTACTTTGAATTCGCTTCTATATATATTCCTCATTTTTTCGGCAATTTGTAACATTTTTTGACACCTGTGACTAGTTCATCTTATTCTCTGAGACACACTGTAATTTTTCTTTTAACATTTTGTTCAGACAACAGCCAAGGAAATCCAGCAGTATTTATCTAGTCCTGTAAAAACTGGTGAACTGCTTCTGGAATTAAATATTGCTCGCCTAATCCCCAAGGGTAGTATGGTAAGAAAACCACGAGATAAAAAGTTAAGAGAAGTGTAAGAAAGTGACTGTCCCAGTTTTTAAATCTGCATAAATCGGTCCAAACTAGTTTTTTTTAATCAAAGTTTAATAGGTCTCTGCAAACTGTTTTTAATGATTTTTTATTGTAAATGTTATGTTTTTAAGGGACAAGAGACATAATTTCAAATGACATGACATGAACGATTCACATTAGTCCCATTTAAACTTTTGTCTGATAAAAATTTATATAGGTACAGATGTGAATTGGAACTGAGATAAAGGTTTAATAGGTACCGATGTGAATTGGAACTGAGATAAAGGTTTATATAGGTACCGATGTGAATTGGAACTGAGATAAAGGTTTATATAGGTACAGATGTGAATTGGAACTGAGATAAAGGTTTATATATAGGTACCGATGTGAATTGGAACCAAGATAAAGGTTTATATATAGGTACCAATGTGAATTGGAACTGAGATAAAGGTTTATATAGGTACCAATGTGAATTGGAACTGAGATAAAGGTTTATATATAGGTACCGATGTGAATTAGAACCAAGATAAAGGTTTATATATAGGTACCGATGTGAATTGGAGCTGAGATAAAGGTTTATATAGGTACCAATGTGAATTGGAACTGAGATAAAGGTTTATATAGGTACCAATGTGAATTGGAACTGACTTTTTTTATCTTTTAAAGGAGGATCTCTTGCATCAATAGTTCTTTGATATTTCCATTTTAATGTTTTTAAAAAACAAGTGTTGATTCAAGAAACGATTTCAAAAATTATTTCAATTGATTCACAAACTTTTTATGTGTCTGAAATGGTTTCCGATGAAGTAAGCTTGCAAAGTTTAAGATCAAGAATAGGAGAGACAATTAAAAGATTGTCAAGGGATGAACCTTGTGAAGTAATGGGTCTCAAGGATATGGAAGCTGAAAAAGAAAAGCTAACAAGTAAGTAAAACAGAATCTAATATTCTACAGTTTAACCCAAAACTTTAAGACTTTGAAAGTAATTATAAAATGTTATTTTCTATACCTACTGATAATGTAATTCTGCAGACAGTTAGTCTTTTAATTTAATAATTGTATAAAGTTCTTTAAAACTGTTTCCGCATATTTTATGGCTATATAATTAATTTCACAATTACTGAGATTTAGATATATTAGCATAAACCCATTGAAAATTGTCAAGACGACATTTTATAAATTCTTTCGATGTTTCCAAAGTTCTGAATTAAAGGAATGAGACCACTTTCAGGATATGCAGACCGTATGTTTCCGTATATTTATAAATCCCTGAAAACTTGTTTATTTCTTTGCTAAATCAGTAAAAACACGACAAGATTAAAGTCAAGTCATAAAATAAAATTGAACCTTGGAAATGGACTGCTGCCTCCCCCCCCCCCCCCGAACCACCTATGATCGAGTGTTTCCCTTTAAATGTGTTCAATTATGTTCTCGTTTAGGTTCAGTAAGAAATATTTAACAAACTAGGCTTTTCTGTAAATAACTTTAGCATTTAACGGAATTGCTCTAAAGGTCGACTATTAAAATCATTTTCAATTTTGGCGGATTTTTCTTTTTGAATTGGCGCATTTTCAAAACAAAATTTTAACTGTTTAATAGGAATTTTATTCTTCCACTTTTGATGTTCCATAAACTTTCTTTGTGGTCATCTGAGGTAGCACCGAAAATTTGGTCCCGATCGATTGAGCCGTTTTGACGTGTATCGGTCACAAACAGACAAGCAAAGATTTAGATATACATATAAATAAATGTCTTCTAATTTAGGTTCATTAAGAGATATTTTAACTGAATATTCGCTTCTCAGTCAGAATAAGGTGGCCGACTGTTTCTTAAATAGTACCAGGTGGTATTTTATTCATACTCGGAACAGGAAGGTTTAATATGTCATCTTAAAGGGACTGTAAACGAAATTTTAAGTGAGCTTCCAATTAAAGGGGGTTTGCCATATTTACAATGGTACGGAAAGCAATTTTTATTAAATTTCGAAAATCCACGAACTGTTCTGATAAAATCCACGAACTGTTCTGATAAAATCCACGAACTGTTCTGACAAAATCCACGAACTGTTCTGATAAAATCCGCGAACTTTTTTTGTTAAAATCCGCGAACTTTTTTTGTTAATGTTTAAAAGAGAAAATTTGTTCACAATTAAAATTGAGAATGTGCGCAAAGCGCTCTGAAAGCATTGAATTCAATATACATAGATAGATATCATTTAAAGGGTAGTTTTTTATCTAACTTTCAGTGTCAATTAAAAAAAATGTTGGCGATTTAAAAAAAATTCTTTTTAAATTGGGACAATCATATCCTTAAAATGACGCTCCATTGAAAGGGTAGCATGTCCCATTTACAACAGTACCCATAAAAGGGTTGCCTGATCAAGTATTAATTAGATAGCCATGTTTTTTGAAAACATTTATTATTTTGATTTCTGATTTCTCTAAAAATGTGACTTGCCTAGTTATTGCTTCACTGGAGATATTAACCAGAATTGCAATATAGTTAAAATGAAGGTTTAATGGTTTAAAAAGGTTTAAATGGAGGATCACCTAAAGTTACTGAAACAGTCCTTTCAAACTTTGTTCCACCATAGTCCGAATTTAATGAATCTAAGCCGCGTCTCAAAGCCGCCAAAAACCGGTTTCAATTGAGCGCCAGCTAAAATCTTGAAAAATTGAATGAGATTTTAAGTGGGGCCAACCAAATTTGATTTAAATTCAAATTTAAATTTAAATTCAAGCTGCGGCTCAAAATTCTATAAATTCAGTCTCATGTCTTTAAAATTAAATTACCATGACTTAAAGTCACACACAGATTAATCCCTAAAATTTGTACTCACTTTTATCCCTTTCCTAAACTATTTAGATACTCTGGGTCTGATTATGTGAATGGCAGTATTATCGAAGGAATAGCTCCAGATCTTGTGTCTTGTCAGGTATCTTTTCAAGTTATGATTTTTGGCACCAACTTAGGACTTATAGGGGAGACCTTTTATTAAGAGTGAAATTGTTCGTAAAATGCAACTAATTCATAATCCTAGAATTAGGAAGATGCAATTTGCCCTGTTGTTACGTGACACTTTTTCTTTTCAATATTTAAGTGGGGGGGGGGGGGTCATATCCTTTTTGGAAGCTATAAGATGGTTCTTGTTGCGCCCCTGGATTTCCCAGATGGAACATGAGAGGTGTTTTGGTATATGTTCGATGTTCGTTATATTTGTTTAAATTAACCTTTTGTTATCCCATTCCAAAATTGGTTTGAAAAACAATTAATTTTTGACGACTTTATTGACGATAAGATAAGTTCTTTTATTGTGTTTATTGTGTTCTAAATTATGAAAATAACAAACATTTTGTTGAAATAGCATAAGGAATGATAGGTTCATAAAATGTCCATGATAACTCTAGCATCTTGTTCATAATTAGATCACAATGTTCATAATTTAGAACACAATGTTCATAATTTAGAACACAATGTTCATAATTTAGAACGCAATGTTCATAATTTAAAACACAATGTTCATAATTTAGAACACAATTTTCTTAATTTAGAACACACTGTTCTTAATTTAGAACACAATGTTAATAATTTAGAACACAATGTTCATAATTTAGAACACAATGTTCATAATTTAGAATACAATTTTCTTAATTTAGAATACAATTTTCATAATTTAGAACACAATGTTTATAATTTCGAACAAAATGTTTGTAATTTAGAGCACAATGTTCATAATTTAGAACACAATGTTCATAATTTAGAACACAATGTTCTAATTTAGAACACAATGTTTCTAATTTAGAACACAATGTTCTTAATTTAGAACACAATGTTCTTAATTTAGAACACAATGTTCATAATTTAGAACACAATGTTCTTAATTTAGAATACAATTATCTTAATTTAGAATACAATTTTCATAATTTAGAACACAATGTTTGTAATTTAGAACACATTGTTCATAATTTAGAACACAATGTTCATAAATTAGAATACAATGTTCATAATTTAGAACATAATGTTCATAATTTAGAACACAATGTTCATAATTTAGAACACAATGCTCATAACTTCGAAATGTTTTCGGTATTTTGATATTTCGAAAAAATTTTAACACTAGCTGAAGGGCCCGGCGTTGCCCGTGGAAAAAAATGTTCGAAATTTTTTTTTGAAAAAAGTTTTTTTTTTTAGCCTATAACACCCCCTGGCCAACCATGAGTGTCCGCCAAATTATCAGCCCAATCGGTCCAGCCGTTTAATATCATTATTGATCAGATTAAGCTTTCAGGTTAAGCTATCAATATCATCCACATTATTGGTCAGATTAAGCTTTCAGATTAAGCTATCAATATCATCCACATTATTGATCAGATTAAGCTTTCTCTGATAAAATCCACGAACTGTTCTGATAAAATCCACGAACTGTTCTGATAAAATCCACGAACTGTTCTGACAAAATCCACGAACTGTTCTGATAAAATCCGCGAACTTTTTTTGTTAAAATCCGCGAACTTTTTTTGTTAATGTNTAAGCGTCACATTTCGACGATTCCTTTAACATTTAATAATTTCTTTATTGATCAGTTTGTAAATAAGTCAAGTTTAATCTATGGACCTAAGAACTAATATTATCTAGAACGCCTGTATTGATGAGGAGGAATGTAAATATTTCATCTATTTCACTACAGATCATCCACAACAATTCAAACATAAATATTGTCGTCTTCTACGGTTTAAAGGAGAGGTGGAAGCAAACAAACCTGGGCATATTTCAGGTCCAGAATCTTTAAGTTATTAGTAGAAATAAATAACAGCCCTAATTGATTCAATTCTAAACATTGTCTAAAGTTAACAAATTGTACCCGAAACTTTGAGAAAACATAAAAATCTACATTGAAAACCAGAAAACTATAGAAAGACGACATTAGAGTAATATTGAAGTGTATTAAGTTTGTTTGAAATCAAATAGTTTTAATAGTAACTTATCAAATCACTTTTACGTAAAATGGGTCTGTTTTCCAGAGTTTTCTGGTTGTCACTGCAGGTCAAAACTTGGTTAGTTAAATCCAAAGCTTTGAAAAATATTCATCTAAGTGTGTAAAATGACCAGTTTAAGTCCTCAACTGTGTAAAATGACCAGTTTAAGTCCTCAACTGTGTAAAATGACCAGTTTAAGTCCTCAACTGTGTAAAATGAACAGTTTAAGTCCTCAACTGTGTAAAATGAACAGTTAAAGTCCTTAACTGTTTAAAATGACCAGTTTAAATCCTTAACTATGTAAAATGATTAGTTTTGATTCTAAATTATGTAAAATAAATTATTTTGATCCTAGCCTGTGTAAAATCAAAACTTATAATAGTTTGTATTCTAATCTGTATAAAATAAATAGTTTAGGTCCTAAACTGTGTAAAATGTATAGCTTAGATCCTAAACTGTGTAAAATGAATAGTTTAGGTCCTAAACTGTGTAAAATGTATATTTTAGGTCCTAAACTGTGTAAAATGTATAGTTTAGGTCCTAAACTGTGTAAAATGTATAGTTAAGGTTCTAAACTATGCAAAATGTATAGTTAAGGTCCTAAACTGTGTAAAATGTATAGTTTAGGTCCTAAACTGTGTAAAATGTATAGTTTAGGTCCTAAACTGTGTAAAATGTATAGTTTTGGTCCTAAAATGTGTAAAATGTATAGTTTAGGTCCTAAAATGTGTCCAGATATATTCTATCCGCAAATATTTGCCAAGAATCTGCTATCTGCAGTTGAGATTTACAAGGAAGGGTTCAGATCTATTATTTGCAATGGAACTGCAACAAGACAAAGCAGTATGAAAATCATTGAAAAGGTAAAATAAAATCATTAAAGAAAATGTTTACAAAATTAAAGCTATACAGGATGCGCCATACTCAATTTATCAATACCAATTTTTCCAAATAAATAAATTAAACTCATTCCCTGAAAGACGGTAACGGAAACATTATATGTAAAAGGAACTGATTAAAAAGAAACTTACGTTTTAGAAATAATTTTTTTTTAATGGTCAACGAACTTTGAAGTTTTTTGGCCTTTTATAGAAAATTTTTAATTTAAAAATCCAGGGATTTAAATTCCTAGTTTGATTCCAAAAAATATTATTTCTTTTAATTTAGGTCTACACACTCACTGATGAGGAAAAAGACGAAATGAGGAGAGATATCAACGCTGAGATTTGTAAATCATGTTCATTTTCTAGAAATTGTCCACACTCTCCACAGTGGAATATAATCAGGTTTAAACAAGAAATAAGATTAAGCTAGAACAATGTATATAGATTTTTAATAATTATTAACTTTCAAAAAACTTATTTTCTCTGCTGGTTTTTATTCCTCTTCTGCAATTGATATATTAGTTTTGGCGTTCTAAACTGCTAAACAATACAAAAAGTCATATTTCAAACAAAAAAATTACACAAGTGGTGATAGTTTATTGAGAATTTGATGATGAATTTTAAAAAAATCATGTGACTTGTGTATTTCTACTGCAGGAAAACACATAGAAATTCTCAGAATTAAACACTTTAAGCCTATAAAAACGACAATATCCTTCACATAATTGATCAGATAAATGCTTCAAGGGTAACAATGTGACGTGAATCGGAAATTGCCTTCTTTTCCTCCAGAGCCACTTGAAATTAACATTACAGTTTCTCTTAGAAATCCTAAAGAATGAAAAATTACAATTTTTTCATATTTTATCTGATTCTTTAATTAGATTAAAGCTGGCTAAGTTCTCTTCAGACCTTGGATACATTGAAACCAATATTGTGAAGGAGCTCCGAGGTTTAGGACAAAATATCTCTCTCACCCAACACCAGCAAAATAAAACGCTCGCTTTTGAAATGAGATTGAGACAAGTTTTCAAAGACAAAATTCAGGTCAATTCTAAGTTTTATAATATCACTATACTGCGTACTTAAAAATTGATTACAGGGTCTTTCGATGTACGTGGTAAAATTCAAACCTTTGCCAAAGGAAAACTGATGAAGATATTCTTGTTTTTCTATCTAAGGATTTAATAATTTTGAATTGTGATTTCTGAACAAAGTGCTTACCGGTTTAATGAAACAGATGTAAAAAAGAACTAACAGAATTCTAAACTTGTTAAGCAATAAAAACGACAATATCTTCCTTATTATTGCATACGTTGGGGTAAAGACTTACCTTGTAAATCAAGCATTTAGCTCTTTGATTTGGAGCTCCAGTCAAGATTCAATCTTGTAAATTTAAATAAAAAAATTAAAATATTTATTCCAGAAATTTAAAAATTTCTAATTCAGAATACGAAAGAGTGTCTTCTCCTGAAACAGACAGAAACCGGGGATACAAATTCACTATTCCCTGTTGAGCTGCAGATTGCTGAAAATTTATCACAAACATCAGAAAGTAGGGTAGGACCTCTCCCCTCTGAAAGCTCTTCAGGACCTTTTCTTACAGAAAGTACGTCAGGACCACTCCTTACAGAAATTACGTCAGAACCTCGTATCACAGAAAGTACGTCAGGACCGCTTCTTACAGAAATTACGTCAGAACCTCGTATTACAGAAAGTACGTCACGACCACTTCTTACAGAGAGCACGTCAGGACCTCTCATCACAGAGAGCACGTCAGGACCTCTCATCACAGAAAGCACGTCAGGACCTCTCATCACAGAAAGCACGTCAGGACCTCTAATCACAGAAAGAACGTCAGGACCTTTTACCACTCAAGTTCCTCCATCAGCAGAGCAAACAACAAAATGTTCAAATTTGAACAATTTTGGATTCCGACTCCTTAGAAGGTTTAATTTTTGTGATACAATTGTGGATATTTCAACAACTACACAAACAACAACAGCCAGGGCAACAACAACAACAGTGAGTTCTACTGTTCAAGCCGACCAACAATCATTCTTGTTTAATTATCTCAGATCTAGATTTCAAGATAATTAATTTTAAGAAATAAAATAAAAATCTTACTCTAAAACAAATTTTGCACTTATTTATACTACCCAGCTTATAGCATGGACAGATATTGTGTAAATGCATAGATATACAGGGTGTCCCCAAAAAAAACTGTGCAGTATGGGTATTAGTTTCTTTCTGAGGAAACAATTTTTGTTCAATTTTTACAATCAATGTGTCATGAAAAAGCTTTTTATTTCAGTTATTTACTTCTAGGCCTCATACTTTTTTGTTACAACTAATTCTTTGAATGTATAAAAGTCGAAAACCCGATTTCCCGGAGTTTCACATTTTCGATCTTTCACGTCTTATTTCAATGCGTTCATAAAGTATAAGGTTTTCGACATTTTTTATCCTTAAAGGGACCGTTCACTTGTTTGGGTAATTTCAGGGTAAACTCTAAAGACACTATTTGATGTTTTTTCTCAGTATGTTGTGGATCAAAATAAATTTCGAATAGAAAATAAAACTGTAGTATCTACTCGTTAATTGTAAATGTCATAATTTTTTAATTTTTTTGTTTAATAACTTCCTATTTCTAAAATAACACTATTTTATCGCATTAAAGATGTTGTATTGCCTTTGTAAAAAGCTTAATTGAACGCGGCATAAAAAATGAAAAGTTGTGCACATACGGGAAAAAATCTACAAAATCTACGAACCAAAATACGAGTAATGATTAATTGATTGTCGTAGAGACGTCGTCTTTGTACACACTTTTTACGTGTTTTAATAAGAAAAACGTGAATTTCTTGCTAACTCAAATGTCAAAAGTTTTCATATTTTAGTATATAACAACGAACACATGATGACATTAAAATATGATAAATTTAAAATTTATTGGGCTGCTGTTACTAAAAAAAACGTCAAATAGTTTCTATAATGAGGGACCGTTTCTTTCCGTTCAAATTCTGAACGAAAAATCGGCTTTTTCTCCGGCCACAGTTGTCTTTGAAAAATAAGACTATTACCAATTAAGAGCGAATAGGCTGTATAGTTTACCCTGAAATTACCCAAACAAGTGAACGGTCCCTTTAAGATGTTAGTCTTAGATGGTTTCTTTTTTACCTAAAATTTTGGATCAGCAATCATTACTTATGGAGCTAGAGCAATCTGAAAATAAAATTGGCCTAAAAAAACACGAAAAGAAAGCTACGGGTACCTTAGCTTGAACTTTGCCCCCAAATTTTTTCTATTTTCTTTTTGAAATCAGTTGGTACAATCCACAGCTCACTTTTCCAACACAGTTTTTTTTTGCCTAACCCACCTGGGCACAAAACATTTTTTTACTTTAAAATGATTTTTACGACTGAATTTGTTATTGGTCTATTTTCGTGATAGGTTTAAGAAATTAGGTAGTTAAATAGACGAAAAATGTTATTTTAAGTGGCCTTCTAAGGGAATGTTCACTGTTCAGTGTTCGCGCAAAAAATGTCAACTTATGTCTTAGAGAACACAAGCCGTCTAAGGTATCGTTCTATATGGTATAAACATAGTCATTTTTCAATAATGATATTTGTTTTTGAAAAAATAAACGCCGAGGTCATATCCGCCATTTTGATTTCCAAGGGGTCATTTAAGGGGGTACTAGAAAAGGGATACTAACTATTGATGAGGTCGTAGAAATAATGGACTTTAGAAGGAACATTCTTTCTTCCTTTTCGAACATTTTTGCAAAAATTGATTCCCCCCTTAAAACTCATTTTTACACAACCCTGAAAAAGTTTTGAATGAAAACCTTGATGGATTGCTTGATATTCTTCTCCAGACTTAAAGGAGCAGTACGCATAATTTTAATTGACCCTCCATTTATATGTAATATAGTAGCCAGTCTAGCTCACAGCGGTATCCTTTACTTTGCTTATGGACAATGAAGGACGTTGTGAGATTTAAACAAAATTCAAGATTGGAAATGATGATGTTTTCCTTAATATCATGTTCGAAAATATTCTAATAATTTCTTTTTATTTAAACAGATATAAATCTTGTTTAATTCTAAGCAAGGTTGTTTTAACATGATAGAATACCCCCAGACAGAAATATTTTGTTTTTATTCTTTTTTTCTGTTTTTATTCTTGTTTTCTGTTTTTCCAATAATTTATCTGTTTTTCTTTTCACACATCATCAGTATATATACCAGACTGAGCAGCAAAACTAAGCAAAGGAAATATGAATAAATACTCTTAGCACACACTTTTAGCTTTTACTTTCTTGTGAGGAATAGAATATGTTTAGCTCTTATCCAATTTCATTTTACTTTAATATGTCGTTTTACATTAACATGAACTCGAACATGTTCAATTTTTTCTATTCTGGGGAGGGGGGGCTCAAGCTTTTGTAATTGTAAATTGTCGGTACAGTCCAAACTAGGACCGCAAATGTTGGTCCAGTTCGAATATTCAAATGTACACCGGTAGTGCCTGCAGATGTGTGTGGGGGGGGGTATTTATCCCCTTTTCCCTCTAATCCCATTATATCAAATCTTGTCAAAAATTAGCAAACATTTCTTTGACGTACTCAGCGTGTAAATCAGTGAGCTAAAATGTATACCTCTCGTGCAAAAATCATAATTTGGCCATTTTTAACTGAAGCTAGAAATATTTATAAATTGTAATTGTCCAGGGCCACAAAATAGTATAAATGGGTAAGAAAGGGGAAATCAAGGCCAAGATGCTTTCAAATTTCTCAGACGATCCGGTATTGAAAGTTGATGCATGATCTTCCTAGCTGTTAGGATTTCTGTGTAATAATATTTCTATAAATTTGTTTCTTTATTATTTGAACCTTAACGGCAAACCATTACATTTTTACAAAAAAAAGAATTGTTAAATAATATTTTTTTATATCAGAAGACGCACAAATTAGAGTCAGAAGTGCTGCGACGAATAGTTGTGTGACGTCATTTGCAGATCGGAAGCTTAAACGGGAGCAGTGTGAAGGTTGCCTTCTCTCCCTCGTCAGAAACCATCCTCCATGAGAATGAAAAATAAAAAGTTTAATTCTCACAGAGTTTGAAGTTCCATGAATTACATTTTTTGTGTGTGTTCAGTTCCACCTTTTATCTTGTCATCCAACTGTCTTTTCCTTTTTTCAATTTATAAAATTAATTCTTTCTGAGTTTTACTTTTAGTTTTCTCTTTATCCTGTGTACGTCGGCTCAAAGGAAAAGCTTAATTAAATATTATTTTCTTAGAAATAGGTTTAAATCATTTTAATAATACCTTTGATTATATTTCTTTATATTTAAAGCAGTACCTTTGATTATATTTCCTGCTTGTAAAGTAATACCTTTAACTATATTTCCTGCTTATAAAGCAGTACCTTTGACTATATTGTTTTAAAGCATGACCTTTGATTATATTTCCTGCTTGTAAATCAAAACCTTTGATAATATTTCCTGCTTGTAAAGTATAACCTTTAATCATATTTCGTGCTTGTATAAAGCAGTACCTTTGACTATATTGTTTTAAACCATAACCTTTGATTATATTTTCTTGTTTTTAAGCATCCCTTTGATTTCATTTCCTGCTTGTATAGCAGTACCTTTGATTATATTTATGGCTTGTAAGGTTATAGTATCTTAGATAATATTTCTTTAATAATCTGTAATAATCCGATAAAAAACTAATTTTCTAAAGATTAACTTTTTAATTTCCCTCTTTTTGCATTTTTCAAAGAATCTTTATTCAACACATTAATGAAATTTTGCACAGCTAAGGTTTATACTAAGGGACTGTAGACGAAATTTCAAGTGACTCTCTATATCTATTTTCTATTGATTTTCTGGTGTTTACGGATAATTTGCAATTCTTGTTTCTTACGGATTTTCATAAATAGAAATAGGGAAATTGTCATTTTCCAAAATGTCCACTTCTTCCCCTTAAACTGAAGTTCTGGAAAATCAAACATCTTCATTGAATATAAAGTCATTAAAAGAAATTGGGGGATTTTTCTCAGTATTCTTAAATAGGGAAAAATTTAATATATTAATGTGCAAATATCAAATTTTTTCCTTTTTTAAGATAAAGATAGAGAAAAGCAAAACCTCATCAAAACTGCGAAACCGTTTAATCAATGCTTCAAATCTACTAATTTCATTTTCTAAAGAAAAAAAACAAAATGAGGATGTTTATTCTCTAGCTATTCTCCACAATAAGTAAAATAAGTTTATTCACTGACCTGGAAAAAGTTTCAAGAAAATTGTTGAATGTAAAAGATGGATAGTAGGAGTTGGATAGATGGATACTAGTTGGATAAATGGATACTAGTTGGATAGATGGATACTAGTTGGATAGATGGATAGTAGGAGTTGGATAGATGGATAGTAGGAGTTAGATAGTTGGATAGTAGGAGTTGGATAGATGGATACTAGTTGGATAGATGGATAGTAGTTGGATAGATGGATACGAGTTGGATAGATGGATAGTAGGAGTTGGATAGATGGATACCAGTTAGATAGATGAATAGTAGGAGTTGGATAGATGGATACTAGTTAGATAGATGAATAGTAGGAGTTGGATAGATGGATAGCAGTTGGCTAGATGGATAGTAGGAGTTGGATAGATGGATACTAGTTGGATAAATGAAAAGTAGGAGTTGGATATATGGATACTAGTTGGATAGATGGATAGTAGGAGTTGGATAGATGGATAGTAGGAGTTGGATAGATGGATAGTAGGAGTTGGATAGATGGATTGTAGGAGTTGGATAGATGGATAGTACGAGTAGGATAGATGGATAGTAGGAGTTAGAACATGGATAGTTGGATAGATAGATTGTAAGAGTTGGAAAGCTAGATAGTAGGAGTTGGTTAGATGGATAGTTGGAATAGGAGTTGGATACATATATAAAGTAGGAGTAGGATATTAGGAGTTGAAAGAAATAAATTAAGGAAGTTTATCAATTAATACCAACATCACTCCCCCCCCCTTACTCTCCTATCTCTGTTTCCACGTTACTCCATCCCTCCCCTCCTCACACACTTTTCAAAGTTAGATAACATCCATATCTTCCTTTTCAATAGTTAATGGTGTACCCAACATCAATATATAGGTAGGTACAGGGTGACCCACAAAACATGACACTCGATGAAAAGTATATAGGTAGGTACAGGGTGTCCCACAAAACATGACACTCGATGAATAGTATATAGGTAGGTACAGGGTGTCCCACAAAACATGACACTCGATGAATAGTATCGAATGTCTCCTTTATAATTCTATAAGTCGTTTGATAATAATAAAATTGATAGAAAATAATAAAAATATTTTAAGGAAGTCATATGTTTCGTGGTTTTACTACTATTGTATGCTTATGGATAGATATGGCTCCATGCTTTGACACCTAGTGGCAGAGACACCTAGCGGAAAAAAGTCGTTTTAAGTGCATTGTATATAGATAAAAATTATGAAATATTAACTTTTTACGAATGCGCCGAAAAATAATCGATGACTGTAGGTTGTAACATCTGAATGATTTGTTTGAAATTAAAAAGATTATTTAACGATACGAGTCGTAAATTTCAACTTTCTGAATATGTATGGACGCTACGTTCTTCAGTATAAGTCGTTTTTAACAATTTTCTCCTTATAGACCCAACAGAAAAAAAGTAAGATTAACAGTGATAAAAAGTGATTATTTTCCGCCGGAAGCCTCCCTTTTCATTTTTCGCGAGCACCACCTTTAATTGTTACAGAATAAATATGAATCTTGATCCTATTAAAAAATTAACCGAGTTAGGAAAAGCTCATTGTCCCACAACCATCGAATCTGATTATATTGTTGAACTTAACATGAAAATGCGTTTTTTTCAGAGGATTAAGTTTCTGAACATTCAATTAAAAGCTGATCAAGAAATTCGCAAACTTTAACAGTCTGGACAGCATATTTATTGATCTCGTCATTACTGTACGCATTATTTTAATGTGGATTAAATAAAAGTTTAAAATTAATAGTTTTCTCATTGTTTGCGTAGTTTTTTCGGCGTCAAACCTTATAGACATCAAACGTATAGAAACAGCTACGTATAGCAACATGGCGTATTTTCCGGGAGAACATTTTTTATATTTTTGAGAATTAAACGTTTTTGTAAAACATTGTAGCTTATCATTATCATTATGATAATTTCTATTTTTTTAACATACCCTAGACATTAAAGGAACAAAATATTTTAATATGTACATTTGTACTGCTCTCTATTGTGTATAAGGTCCCCCAGATTTTATTATGTACTGACAACATAAATGAATGATTATATGGTACTAAATAAATTTGCATGTTACTATTCAAAGAAATATTTTACAAAAATTCTATCTACAGTTCTATTTTTAGAGAAAAAAAAATTTCTCAAAAGTAAAAAAAAATTCTCCAGTAATGCAAATATGATTTCATAAAATTCCGTTTTACCATTTAAATAAAAGGATTTTATGAAAATTATATCTACTTTACACTGATTATTTAATTTCTCAAAAATATAAAAAATGGTCCCCATGTTGCTAGACGTAGCGGTTTCTATGCGTTGGATTTCTATAAGGTTTGACGCCGTTTTTTCATTTTTTTTAAAGATTTTTTTATTGTTTGTGTAGTTTTTTCATTGTTTGTGTAGTTTTTTCATTGTTTGTGTAGTTTTTTCATTGTTTGTGAAGTTTTTTCATTGTTTGTGTAGTTTATTCATTGTTTGTATTAGTTCAAGCCTTAATTTTTGTCACAATGTTATTTTATGACTAAATCCGTCCGTCCTTTAATTCTAAATGCACAAGTTTGAAAGTTTCTTACTCAAGTAATGACTATGCAATTTAGAAACATTTGTTTTAGAATGTTTAGAGATGAGAGATAAATACGACAAGATTTTGCTCAACAGAAAATGATGATTTATAGTTAAATTTGTTACTATGGTGTTATAAAAAAGTTTTAATGAAATGAAGTAACCAACAGTTTGCTAAGAAACTTCAGAGAAGTATAAATGCGGGAAAAAGTCTCTTTACTGCAGTGTTTTGTTTTTAAGAAATAGTGGGGGGGGGGTGATCTAAGCCCCCCCACACCCTGGTTTTGGGTAAAAAGAGAAAAATTGCAGATAACTGCTGAAAGTAGTATTATCTTGTTAAAAAAGATTGGAAAATTTAAGGATTTTAATTATAAACGAAAAGGACTAAATTTCAGATACATTTTCAATCAATTACAAGGTTCCTGCTCACCTCCCCTCCCCCCCCTTATAAATACTCCAATTACTTCTTTGATTGTGTATATGTAGTCATCTTTAATTGTTTAATTTCATCTAACGCCAATGCAGAGATGCCAGATGTTCGTTTATCATTTTTGTTATTGTTTACAATCTTTATTTTTGTTGTTGCACCGAAACAAGTTGTTCAACAGTCCAAAAACGTCACAGCAAAGTGTACGGCAAACCTATCGCCCCCACCTTGACCCAAACTATAAATCTATGACAGTCTACTAAGAAAGCTTGTTTGTCAATCCCAGCTTGTATATCTAGGATCTGGACTGGGTGTCTGTATATCCAGGACTGCATGAATATCTAGGACCTGGACTGAGTGTCTGTATATCCAGGACTGCTTGTATATCTAGGATCTGGACTGGGTGTCTGTATACCCAGGACTGCTTGTATATCTAGGAACTGGACTGAGTGTCTGTATATCCAGGACTGCTTGTATATCTAGGATCTGGACTGGGTGTCGTATATACAGGACTGCATGAATATCTAGGACCTGGATTGAGTGTCTGTATATCCAGACTGCATGTATATCTAGGACCTGGACTGAGTTTCTGTATAGCCAAGATAGGATGTATATCTAGGACCTGGACTTAGTGTCTGTATATCCAGGGAGCTTGTATATCTAGGACCTGGACTGGGTGTCTGTATATCCAGGGCAGCTTGTATATCTAGGATGGGGACTGAGTGTCTGTATATCCAGGACTGCATGTATATCTAGGACCTGGACTGAGTGTCTGTATACCCAGGACTGCTTGTATATCTAGGACCTGGACTGAGTGTCTGTATATCCAGGACTGCATGTATATCTAGGACCTGGACTGGGTGTCTGTATATCCAGGACTGCATGTATATCTAGGACCTGGACTGAGTGTCTGTATATCAAGGACTGCATGTATATCTAGGACCTGGACTGAGTTTCTGTATATACAGGACTGCTTGCATATCTAGGACCTGGAGTAAGTGTCTGTATATCCAGGACTGCATGTATATCTAGGACCTGGACTGGGTGTCTGTATATACAGGACTGCTTGTATATCTAGGAACTGGACTGGGTGTCTGTATATCCAGGACTGCATGTATATCTAGGACCTGGACTGGGTGTCTGTATATACAGGACTGCTTGTATATCTAGGGCCTGGACTGAGTGTCTGTATACCCAGGACTGCTTGTATGTCTAGGATCTGGACTGGGTGTCGTATATACAGGACTGCTTGTATATCTAGGACCTGGACTGGGTGTCTGTATATCCAAGCTGCNAAAACATATATCTGGTTCTAACTATATATAACAATATATCTGGTTCTTACTAGGCATAAAAATATATCTGGTTCTAACTAGATAAAAACATATATCTGGTTCTAACTAAGTGGAAACATATATCTGGTTCTAACTAGATATAACAATCTAGATATAACAATATATCTGGTTCTAACTAGATATAACAATATATCTCTTTCCAAATGTTTCATGATGGAAGGAAAATTATGTTAAAAAAACTGACTTTAGGCTGATAAAGGAAAATTTTTTATTAATCCAATTGTCAAATCAAATAAAAGCGACGAGAAGTTGGGAACCTCCCCCCAATTTTCCCAGGGGGGCGTTGACACTCCAAACCCCCCCCCTCTTTAACCGCCTCTGGCTAGTTTGTATATCTAGGATAATGAAGGAGTGTATGATGAAGGGTTTGCTAAGGTATAATCCAATATTGGAGGAAGTTAATGTACCTCTATATCTACCAGTATACAATATGTAGAATATAGAGGCAGCATATTCACTTTTCAGTAGAGGGGGCAAAATAACACTGGTTTAAATGTTTAATCTTTTCACCTCCAGTCCCACTCCCTCCCCCCCTCTCTCTGTAGGTTTTAACCCTATTCTGATTTTTGACTGATATGTGCATATATGTGGGGGGGGGGGAATTTCACCATACCCCCACCCACATGATTTGCTCCAAATGTTGAGAAAGCTAAGCGTGGTCCCCAGTCGACTTTTCAAGGCCTGCTGATTAAAAAAATAGGCCTCTAACTTTCATGGTTCGGGAGCTAGGGAGGCTTACAAAAGAATAAAAAAAATATGTTAGAATATTTGAAAACAAATAATTTTTTTTCGACTTAATAAAGTAGTTTAGATTTGTAGCTATAATAATAAAATAGTTTTATGAACAACAACCAGACGTTTGGCCGTCCTTAACCATATTCTTCCTATGCATCAAATAAAAATTATGAAGTTTAAAATTGATACGTTAAGTTGTGGAGAAAAGACAGACTACAGAGGTGANATCGTAGTTAAAAATACATATTGAGTTTTTATTTATAAGACTACAGCCAATTTATTAAAAAAAAACAAAACACGCTTAATAATTTTCAATAGGCTTTTGAAGCATTTTTACTAAGCAGACTGTTGATATTTCGAACAAAAAAGGCAGCAAATAGTTGGAAAGCCAGTCCCAAAGTTTGGTAAATGGATTTTTAAAACAAAAGAGAAAAAAAATATTACTACACAACAAATTTTAGATAAATGAAAACTTTTTCTTTATATTCCCAATAACCATACCCAAAATTCTTAAATTTGTTTCCTCACATTTTTTATGTTTTCCTCTTGATCATGACTTGTACCTTCCAACTTAAAAAATGACTGATTTCCGAAGTTCCAATATCCTTTCAATTTCTCTGAATTGAAGAAAATAATTTTACTAACAAAAATACACAACATCAGATACAAACATGAGAAGTTAGAAAAAAAAATTTAATTTAGATCTTTTTTATAAAATGAATTTCTACATATTTATCTCACAACTGTCTTAAACTATTCGACGACGACATCGGTAAAATTATAAATATATCCTGTGATAACAAATTATTTAAACAGCAACAAGATTCAAAGATATATCGATATTCAAGATTTTTTAGGTTGATATATATCCAGATAACCACGTATACATATCCTGGCACAACTTTGGTTTCATTCAAGGATTACTAGGGAACACTGGGTACAGCACCAACAACGGAATTCATGTTTCTGATTTGATGACTGGAGGCGGTGGGGGGAAAATGGAGTTTGGCGCCATTTTTAAAAATGGTGCCAAACAATTGAAACTTAATGTTTGGTTTGGTTTAAGCCGCTTCTGAATGACTTGTGTTATGTTAGGAAGGATGCGCTTTAAACCAAAACAGATGTTAAACCAGACAATAAGGCAATCTGAAAAAAATGGCTTATTCAAATTTTTTATAGCTGATTATTTAGTTGATGATTAATTGATTGGTTTGGTTACCTGATATTTTAAAGATCAGATTCCCCGTAAAGTGCTGTAGAGAATGACATATAATCCAGAGCACCTTGCACAGCATCCATTCCTGCAATTTCAACATTTTTTATTTTATCGTCAGCAATGGTCAATCATTATCGTACACTTGATAACAAGTTCTTTAGAAAAAAAATGGCTAGTATGATCAAGATTAAGATCAAAATTATATGATAATCAATTAAAATTCAGGAATAATTTTGATTCAAGATAAAAACCAGGAAAATGAACAAAGACCAGATTTTAGAAAGAAAGACAAACAAAATATTTAAAAAGATATATTTTACCAGAATATGGTTGCATTCTCTGTATACAGTATTCAGCTTGATCAGGGGGAAGCTCACGTCTAAGCTCTTCCGGTAGAATGTACGGCTAAATAGTAGAATGTACGGCTAAATAGTAGAATGTACGGCTAAATAGTAGAATGTACGGCTAAAAAGTAGAAAATAGAAAATAATAGTCGAATATTAAAAGCAGAATATATGGCTAAACAGTAAATAATTAAAAATATTAAAACGGTGGTAGGCGATAACACTAATTCAATGAAGACGACGTTTGATTTTAAATTTTGATTTATATCAAGCTTTTAAATTATTAAAAAATATATATACGGCTATCGAACCATTACATTAAAATGCTAGCTCTATATTTGAAGGTCAAAGGATAACTAATTAAATAATCTAACAACTCCTCTCTAGAGCCCCTCCCTACTCACGACAATCTTTGACATTCATTGAATTCCAAATTTTCCGTGTTAATTATTTTAAAATTAATATTGAATAAAATTATTAATATAAAATGCTACGTAAATTCAAGAGTTTAATCCATAATTATCTATTTCCCACACATTTTTTAAAATACGTAAATCTATTTTAGAAATACAGAAAAGCTTAAAACGCAATTTGTTGAATGTTTGGAAACAAAAATAACCCACTGCATAAGATGGGGAGTGGGGTTGTTGTTGTTGTTGTTGTAGAGAATCTATACTTTAAAACTGTCGGCAACATCAAACAAAGGGGGGGGGGGGATGTTTTAAATTACCTTATCTGCGGCCAAGATTCTAAATGAATCAATAACTTGCTCGGCAGTATCAACATCAGTACTCTCTCTAGTCATAAAGTCAAGGAAGCAATCAAACTGAACATATCCTGACGCGTTAGGATCAACTATAGAGAGGATTCTCTGGAAATCAATCTCTCCCTGCTTGTCTGTTCCAACGCTGTAACCCAGGGAGATTAAACAGTTCTTGAACTCTTCTGGGTTCAGCCGTCCGGTCCTAGCAAATAGTAGATTAAAGGGAGTGTTTACAAACTTTACCACGGGTATACAGCAAAGGATGAGAATTCAGAGAAATTAACAATTTTAAATTCATTATATTTAATGTTCCCTGCAACTGTAAATTTGTTTCTTTCGTTGCCAAATCCTTGAAAAGTCCATAAAAAGACAAAATTCTTGACAGATTACTTAATACCAATTTGATGTCTAAATCTCCCTGACCCATGTTCGATGCTGAAGTCCCCCTGACCCCTGTTAATATGTACCTGCTCTTGTCGAAGTGGTTGAATGAAGCCCTGAACTCGTTAAGTTGCTCCTGGGTGATTCCCTTGCTGTCCCTGGTCAGGATCTGGTTCTCTACCTCGTTGATAGTTCTAAACAAACATTAAATAATGAAATAAATAATTCTAAAGGAGAAACCTTCCCCCTTCCCCTTGGTTTCCTTCGATACTCAAGGCATGGTATCCCCATAGTTAACCTAATTTATACTCAAGGCATGGTATCCCCCATGGTTCTCTTGTATGATACTCAAGGCATGGTATCCCCCATGGTTCTCTTGTATGATACTCAAGGCATGGTATCCCCTCTGTTTCCCCTAGATACTCAAGATATGATATCCCCCCACCCTCCCTCCTTAGTATTGATTAGTCGAAATGTATTCAAATGAGTTGGATGTTAAGAATTTCCATTAAACAGAATAGAATGGAATCTATTAAGATATCTGTCCTTTATACAATAATATATATTCAGTACTCACCAAGATATTTAATTTATAAAGTCAAATAAACATCTTTATTCTAAATTCTTTCTTTTAAAAATGAAATACAAGATAAATATTTTTTTAAATGTTTCGCCTCAGTTTTGGAAATATATCAATTACAAATTATGAATTTCTTAGTGATATTTCAGAACTAAAAGAAATATTGAAGATAATAATCTTTCCATCGTCTTTTGCACCCCCCCCCCCCCCACCTAAACACCCTTGGAGACGAGGGAAATATTTTGCGTAAACATCCATCAACTGGAAAGATTTTCACACTTTTTGATCATAACTCCATTATAATTTTTACCCAATTCTGTAAATGTAGGCCTATTTTTTTACTCTTAACTTATTGCAAAAATTGTTTGTTTTTTCAAAAATGTTAACATATATTAACATTTAAACTTCTGAAATATTTGCATGTTCTTCCATATTGCAAAGAATGATGAAAAGAAATGTTCATGCTTTTTAAACATTCAAAAACATATTTCTTCAGTTTGAATTCAAGTAAACAACCATGAAATGGCAGGAGAAAGATTTAAATACAAACCAGGTAAAAAATGCGTTAAACTGAAATGATGAAAAAAATGCGTTAAATTGAAATGATGAAAAAAGTGGTAAACTGAAATGATGAAATAAATGCGGTAAACTGAAATGATAAAAAATAAATGCGGTAAACTGAAATGATGAAATAAATGCTGTAAACTGAAATGATGAAGAAAAAAATGTGGTAAACTGAAATGATGAAATAAATGCGGTAAACTGAAATGATGAAGAAAAAAGGCGGTAAACTGAAATGATGAAGAAAAAAGGCGATAAACTGAAATGATGAAGAAAAAAGGCGGTAAACTGAAATGATGAAGAAAAAAGGCGGTAAACTGAAATGATGAAGAAAAAAAGGCGGTAAACTGAAATGATGAAGAAAAAAAGGCGGTAAACTGAAATGATGAAGATAAAAAGGCGGTAAACTGAAATGATGAAGATAAAAAGGCGGTAAACTGAAATGATGAAAAAAATGGGAAAATAACAGGTAAATCCAAGCCAAGAAGTTGAAAACATATATTGAAGGGATGAGTTCTGTTCCCGACTTTTAGAAAACATTCATTTCTTTGTTTTTTTTTATCTTGAAATGTGATCCTTTGAATCTTTTCATAATTTAAAGACTTAGTTTTTCTTGTTTAATCTTCAAATTTCGACTAACCAAAAAATCAAGCTGATTTTGACTGAATGATTTTTTAGAAATATCTAATAAATTTCCCATGACTATTTTTTTAATGACATGATTTCAGAACAAAGTTTTTATTTTTGGCGTATTCCTTGGCAATTAAAGTTTCTTAGTTTTGATTTAGTTCTCTCCCTTAAGGGTGGATCTAGGCTAATTTAACTTTAACAGAATCTTTCAAATATTAAGAAATTTTCTTAAAATCTTCAGTTTTCTGCAAATGGATTATATTTTTAAAGTTCATAATACACCACAACTATAAAGAATTTAGTATTTAGATTTACTTTTTCGTTTTTTTACTTTAAAATAATCTTTGAATAAGAATTAAAAATCTTTGGGGACTGCGACTTCGGTAAATTGTAGCATTGAAAAATATAAAAATGTCTTAGAAAAATTCCAATGGTTAAACTTGCTGATTTCATTTTGTCAAAATTAAATTCCTTTAGGGCAAAAAATTATGAAAATGATTATTTTAAGATTGGGATTAAAATAGATTTAGCATTTCTTAACTCAAGATCCCCTTATTTCAGGAGTTTTGAAAACAACCTCCTTCAGCATAGATTAAAGTAAACACTGCAAATTAAGCGAGGGAAGGGATTGCTCGGTCCAATAAGCCACGCAGTATTACCTCCGAGCCGCATAATTTGCAGAATGATCTTTAAGACCCTCAAAACAGGTCAAGATCAATTAAATTTCGAAATTACCTGAATAAACTAAACTTTGAATTATTCCGAAATATTATGAGCGGTTCAAAATCATTCTGCAGACTCTATGCTATAGCTCGTAAATTATTTTGCATGGCTCAGGGCGGCCAGCCCCCCCCCCCCCCCCTCCTCCTTCATTGAGTAGACTTTACACTTTAGTCAGAAGGCGGAAGGGAATACTGAGAAATGACTCATCTTTAAAATTCAGATTTTAAAAAATCTTCAGATATTCTGAAACTAATGTAAGATGTAAGATAATCTTAGATGAAACAGAAATATTTAATTTAAAAGAATCTTTTAGTATTTCGGAAATTTTCAAAAAGTTTATCAGCAATAACTTTTATCCCTTCTACTTACTTAAAGATATTTCTATGCCAATGGATCAAAGTTAAAAAGAGACTAAACATAGAAGCCTAAGTTATCATATGATTTATTTTTAAAAGATACAACTTTTTCATTATTTAAAAATTTCCTGTGAAAAATAAATATATTTTCTGAATAAAAATGATTTAATTACTGTGCTTTAAGCTAATTTAATGCTAGCGTTTATTTTTCATGAATATATTTGAAAACTAAGGGCTTAAAATGAACATGCTGGACCTCATTTAATACGTTCTACCCAAATATAATTCTTTTTACTCTTAAAAGCAATCATTATTATTATCATTAAAAAGGAAGGGGGGGGGGGTAGTTAACTTACTTTCCTTTTTAAAATGTAATTTTGAATCTGACATTCAGAATACAACTCCATGACAGAATGGTAAATATTGTATAAATGTTGGAAGCAATATTCTCCAATGTCAAGACTGAATCCACATTCTAATTTGAAGAAGACACCAATCTTCTCAATCCTAGCATCCCTACAATTTCAACAGAAGGAATTTTAATTCCTTCTCTCTTCAAAGAATATTTGATGCGAGAGATGTTCTTTGACTGTGTAACCTTACGAGTGTTTCATCAACAAATATATTCTTTAGAATATCTGCCTAACTTTTAGGACAAAAACATAAAATAGAACATGCATATTGGATATGCTATGTTGTCCCTGTTTTCTCTACGAACTAACAAGTTTTAATCTATGATCGAACAAAACAAAATTGGAAAGCGTTGCACTCCTATTTTTACAGATATACCATAAATCTATGTTTTCTTTACAATTTTGATATGAAAAAAATGCGATGCTCTTTTCTCCAAAATTGGACAGAAAACTATTCTAATTGGTTCAGGGAAGCATATTATTTTTTATTGTAAAAAATGATATTAAGATGAAAATTTATTCAAAAGTTGTTAAGATATCAAAGTATTTTTCTCACTGCTTCTTAAAAGTTAAAATGTGCCTAGTTACTGACAATTAAAACAATTTACCCATATCATGTTTTTAAATAATAAATTACATAAAAGCAATTCCTTGTTATGATAAAAAACAGAAACTCTTTTTAAATATCTAACTTGTTTAGATGGATGAAAGAGACCCCTAAGCCTAGTATTTATGTATTAGAAAATGATCTAATACCCTCTATATGTTTATAAAGGGTAAATATAGTTTAACTATGTTCATGGGGAAACATTAGTTGGAGGGTATAACATAAACTAGAGTTTATTATAATAGGTTCAGTAGTATATAAATATTTAATATCAACCTCTCTACCAACAAATCTAGGATAATTTTACACAAATTACATCATTTACAATTTCATAATAAAAGTCAAATTTTAGGGAGAAAACTGAATTTAAAGCTAAACAACCCTTGAAACAATGACTTGATCAATAAAACGTTGTTTTTCTGGCTTGTTCTCATGTTTAATTCTGTTAATTTCTCGTTTGTTTCTGTCAGTACATAGAAAATCGCTTTAACTTTGAAAATATTTAGAGTTATTGTTTGTATAATTTTTGAAATTTTACATTCATGCTCATTATTCAATGTTCTATTTTTTATAATTTTGTTCATAATTTTGTTCATATTTGTTTATAAAGATGTTAATAAGTGCAAAATTATTATTTTCATTAGACATATATTGTAATTATGTATCTATGTATTATGTATTGTAAATCTAGCTTTTTACTCTTTGTGGCATTCATATCTAACCCCAAAGTAAAAGTCACAAAAGTATTAAAAAAAATTGGGATCTGATGTAATTGAAAAAGTTATGATAGTAATTATTTAAAATTATTATATCCTATAAATTTTCGTTATCAAATATATAAATTGCAGAAAATCTCAACACACGGGCAGCCATAGTACATTTGAATTTCCGAGCCGGGTCAATCTTTCCGGTCCCAGTTTGTGCTGTATCGCCCAGAGACATTGAATAAATGAAGCAAACACTAAATAGGAATAGCCGGTGCAACAAGGTTGACGCGGTCAGACTTTAGGTTCAATTTACTTTTACTAAAGGGTCAAGAGTGCGTGAACACATTACCTGTTAACAGAGGTTACCAATTGTTCCCATCCAACTCTCAGAGTTTCCATAGTGTACTGTGTATATCTATTCTCAAACACAAAACTCTCCTGAACAAAGTTTACTGTGTATATATATATCTATTCTCAAACACAAAACTCTCATGAACAAAGTTTACTGTGTACATATATATCTATTCTCAAACAAAAAACTCTCCTTCAGAACAAAGTGTACTTTGCATCTCTATTCTCGTACACAAAACTCCCCTGAACAAAGTGTACGGTATTTCTCTATTCTCGCACAAAAAACTCTCCAAAACAAAGTGTACTGTGTATATCTATTCTTAAACACAAAACTCTCCTAAACAAAGTGTACTGTGCATCTCTATTCTCAAACACAAAACTCTCCTTAAGAAAGTGTATTGTGTATCTTTATTCTCAAACACAAAACTCTCTTAAACATAGCTCACTGTGTTAAACACGAACTCGCATAACAAAATTAACTATTGTATTAACTGTGTATTGTTTAATGTCATATAATAATATTATATTTAAATATTTATCAAAAACTCTCCTTTCACTAGGTAAGGTAATTTTGTAAAGCCCATTCAAAGAAAAACATAATCTCAGTATATTCATTTTATTTTCAGGATATTCTAAGCTTAAATACATGAAACCTTCCAATAAACAATAATAGTGTTCTGTACAGTGTACAGTATACCATGTACCATGTACATGTATATAATTTGATGTAAACGTGATGACAATTTCTCTTAAAAGATTTTTTATCAAAGAGTTTCTAATCAGGATTTCACCTGGACCTTCTCACGGAATAAATAATTTAATAGAATGATGCAAGGGAAATATGCCAAAGTTTAAAGAAAAAAATAAAGAAGTTTTAAAGTAAAATATTTATGTGAACAAGAAAATGATGGATCAAGCTAATATTGTGTAAACATAGAACATAGGAGCATTTATTAAATAATGTATTCATTTCAAACCTTGACCGCTCTTACAACCTTGACCGCTCTTAGAGCCTTGACCTTTCTTGTACCTTGACCGTTCTTGTACCTTGACCGTTCTTGTACCTTGACCATTCTTGTACCTTGACCGCTCTTGTACCTCGACCGTTCTTATACCTTGACCGTTCTTGTACCTTGACCGTTCTTGTACCTTGACCGTTCTTGTACCTTGACCGTTCTTGTACCTTGACCGTTCTTGTGCCTTGACCGTTCTTGTACCTTGACCGTTCTTGTACCTTCACTGCTCTTGCACCTGGACCGTTATTGTACCTTGACCGTTCTTGTACCTGGATTTGTTGATTTATCCTCTCCAACTCCTCAAGATGAGGTTTAAACTGATAAACTGCCTCTTCATATTCTCTCAACCTTAATAAAACAATTTTATAATATGAAAGTCACAATTAAAATGGTATGATGCCGTTCTTAATAACAAAACACAAGGTTTTATTCCATTTCTAAACATTCAGATTTTTAATCTTTGATCGAAAATGTTTCAACTTGGACCAGTTTTAATAGGTAGCTCGACGTAGTTGAACTACACATACTAAATTGAACCACTCCTCATGTGCACCGGTCCCAGTTAGAAATAGATGGTTCAACTAAACCTATGTAGTTTAACTTCTTCTTCCTAATCATTAAATTTGGTCCCTAAGGTGAAATATTTAGAATGGGATATCCTTAATCCCGATCGGTTAATGAATCTGGAGATTAATAAAAAATGGAGAACAATCGGTATTTAATCTTGAGATTAAGAAAAAGAGTGGATCAAGCATTAATCCCAATATCCACCATTCAAAAGTTCCCAGCTCAGGTTGATCGAGGAAAACTGAACTGAAATAAATTAAGAATAAAACCAGAAATAAGTTAAACAATTCAATTGACTTATAGTTTTCTCGATTTAAAAATGTATATATATATATATATATATACANACAACTAAAGAATTTTTACGGCTCCCCCTGTACCCATCCTTTCTTTTCATAAATAAGAAACAGTTTCTCTCTTAATATATTCTTGTTTTCAGAATTGTAAATAATACTTGTCTTTTGTAAGATTTAAAAAAGAGGCTATTCAGTAGAATTTTAAGAAAAAAAATATATGTGGTTCAACTAGATAAAAATATATATCTGGTTCTAACTACATATAACAATATATCTGGTTCTAACTAGATAAAAACATATATCTGGTTCTAACTAGATATAACAATAGATCTGGTTCTAACTAGGTCTAAAAATATATCTGGTTCTAACTAGGTCTAAAAATATATCTGGTTCAACTAGATAAAAACATATATCTGGTTCTAACTATATATAACAATATATCTGGTTCTTACTAGGCATAAAAATATATCTGGTTCTAACTAGATAAAAACATATATCTGGTTCTAACTAAGTGAAAACATATATCTGGTTCTAACTAGATATAACAATAGATCTGGTTCTAACTAGGTCTAAAAATATATCTGGTTCTAACTAGGTCTAAAAATATATCTGGTTCAACTAGATAAAAACATATATCTGGTTCTAACTATATATAACAATATATCTGGTTCTTACTAGGCATAAAAATAGTTCTAACTAGATATAACAATATATCTGGTTCTAACTAGATGAAAACATATATCTGGTTCTAACTACATATAAAAATATGTATGGCTCTAACTAGATATAACAATATATCTGGTTCTAACTATATATCTTTTTAGTAGAAAATTACTTCATCATTTTTACATTAAAAAAGGTTTAGAGTACATTAATGAAACGTACATGTAAATCTTAATGGAGGTCACTTGAGAAATTCCGTCAACAGTCCCTTTACTAACCTCCCCCCCTCTCCACCCCTCCCCAAGGATTACAGTATGCTGACCTGCTAAGCTGCTCTTCAAGGGATCCCTGCATACCCATACCAATAGCTGCCACAGCATCCATCTGCCTCTCAATCCAAGGACCAACCTAGAAGAAAAAATAAGGTTAAATTTTTGGGTGCTTCGCGCCTCGTTCCAAAACTGTTGACAACTTCGATAAAACTAAAATAAATCGTTAAAGGCCTTCTTTGATTTCATGCCTTTTCTGTCTTTGAGAATAAAGTGAAAATCAATTAATTTATTAATTGCTTAACTGATATATTGATTGATTGATTACTTAACTACTTGCTTAATTAATATATTGATTGATATATTGATTAATTAATTGCTTGCTTAATCCATATATTGATTGATTGATTGCCCATACCAATAGCTGCCACAGCATCCATCTGCCTCTCAATCCAAGGACCAACCTAGAAGAAAAAATAAGGTTAAATTTTTGGTGCTTCGCGCCTCGTTCCAAAACTGTTGACAACTTCGATAAAACTAAAATAAATCGTTAAAGGCCTTCTTTGATTTCATGCCTTTTCTGTCTTTGAGAATAAAGTGAACAATTTAGAATTTAAAGGTCCTTTTGTGAACGTAATTTTAAATGACCCTCTATGCAAAGATAGCAAATTTCGATTTACAAATGTACCCTTGAAACCCTAATTTGATCAAAAATGTTGACGCTGTTTATTTCATTCAAGAAATGTGCAAATAGTCACTTTTCAGAGAAACATGAAATGAAAATAATCAGTTTAAATAAACTAAAACATGACACATAATTTACACTTGATCATACACATCTTTAACGGGGACCGTTGTAAATCTGACATTGCCATGTTTGCAAGAAGGGTCACTTGAAATTACGCTTACAGTCCCTTAAAAAAAAATTATGTATCATTTATGTTGCAGAAGATGTTGTTGTACTCTCATAGCAGCTTAATTCGTGAGTGTTTTTCTATTTAAAAATGTATTTTTAATAATATACAGTCCCTCTTTTCTGTATTATACAGAAAAGAGGGAAATATCACGTACTTTCTTCATAACCTCAAGAACAAAAATAAATATTAAATATGCACATTAAATAAGCTTAATCTGATTTTCAAAGATTTTGTTTAATGACAGAAATGTGCAAAGAAAACTAGAACAATAATTATTTTGTCTTTCCAATATTATTTTTAAAAAAGCTTAATCTGATTTTCAAAGATTTTGTTTAATGACAGAAATGTGCAAAGAAAACTAGAACAATAATTATTTTGTCTTTCCAATATTATTTTTATTTATTTCTGAATACCATCAAAAAAACAACAAACAATAAAAAGAGAATAATTTAGTATTATTCAGATAAAAAATGGGGGAAAATATCCCCCACTCCTCATAATAAATAAAAAATGAGAATTTATTTAAAATATACTAGCATCAATATCTGATTTTCAAATGCCTTTATCGATCAATTTTATAATTAAACAAGAACTTGTTAATTAATCGGGAAACTTAATTAATTAATTATAAATTAAATAAATGTATTAATTGATTTTTATTAATTGCTTAATTAATTAGAAATTATTGAAAGATCCATAATTTGATTAAAAGATTACTTGCTTGACTGAAAAATATATTATGAAACTATTGTGTACTTTGTCATTCTTCCTCACTTCATAGTGAATTTCATAATGAACGTACCATAAGTAATTATTTTGCTTATAGCAAAAGTTAAATTAGCTGTACATTATAGCACGTGTGCTATAAAGTTTTGATTGGTTCCCGGATTTTTTTCTCCAACAAATTTAGGATATTTCCAAAATATTTTTTTCAATTGAAATGAAAATTAAATTGAACTCAATTTCATATTTTAACTTCTGCTTTGTTTCAAAGCTTATTTGATCTAGAAATAGCCATTGAAATAAGACAAGTACACAAACGTTTCTTAAAATTACCTACAATACTATTATTTTGGCACGACATGCTATAAAGTTTTTGGACATAAATTTTCTCTACATCTTGAAGGTACTTGCCTTTTTAGATTATATTAAATCTAAAAAACTTGAACCTCTCGATAAAGAGAAAATTTCTGTCCAAAAACTTTATAACACTGCGAACCAAAATAAAAGTGTTATAAATAGTTATACGGAATGATTGACTGAATTATTGATATTAATTTTTAAGACCTTACGCTGTTCATTTGGTGTTATAAAGTGTCAAAATGTCCCTTTTATTGATTTTTTATTAAAAGCCTGATTAACTAGTATTTATTGAATGACTGAATGAACAATTAATTGATTCATTAGTATTTATTAAATTGACCGATAAACATTATTTGATGGTGTTTGACTCATATATTGATTGGTTGATTAATTGATTGGTTGGTTGGAATATTAATCAATTAATTGATTAATTAATATTTAGATTAAATAAGAGATTGTTATTTAGAAAAATTAGTTGACTGAATAATTGATGAATTGATTGATTGGTTGATTGCTTAATTAATTGCAAGCTTAATTGATATATTGATTAATAAATTGATTAATTAATTGCTTGCTTAATTGATATAATTAATAAATTGATTACTTAACTACTTGCTTAATTAATATATTGATTGAAATATTGATTAATTAGCTGCTTGCATAATTGATATAATGATTAATATACTACTTAATTAATATATTGATTGATATAAATTGATTAATTAGCTGCTTGCATAATTGATAAATTGATTAATATATTGCTGAACTAATATATTGATTGATATATTGATTAATTAGCTGCTTGCATAATTGGTAAATTGATTAATTAGCTCCTTGCATAATTGGGAAATTGATTAATATATTTCTTAATTAATATATTGATTGATATATTGCTTGATTAACTGCTTGCTTAATTCAAATATTGTTTGATATAATTATTTATTAATTACTAGCTTGATTGATATGAATATATTGATTTATTAATTAATTGATTAATTGCTTAACTGATATATTGATTGGTATATTGATTAATCAATTGCTTGCTTAATCCCTATATTGATTGATTGATCACTTAATTACTTGCTTAATAAATATTTTGATTGATATATTGATTTATTAATTGCTTGCTTAATCGATATATTGATTGATTGATTGTTGTTTCCTGAAGTGTTTGATCTCGCTGGGGAACAAGGGTCTTCACTTCATTCCATTTAGACTGTACATCCTTTCCTAAATAACAGGTGTATATAATAATCACAGTTGCCAATAGCATTGAAACCGATTGCGTAAAAATGTGTAGGACCTGAAATAAGGGTTCTCCTTATTGTTTTTTTAATGTTATCGAAATCTCAAGAAAGAAAATCTATGTCAAAAAATATAGTCTTTTAATCATAATATATTGATAGAAATAGCTGCACAAGAATTATGACCTATATCTTTAATAGCATTTAAATGTCATCAATACTTTACTTTATTCACGGCTATAATTGCATCACACAGAAAAATCTTTCAAAAGAAAGCAACATTAAATCGAAACAAATATTCTCAGAAAATATTGGATGTTAAAACTTGAAAAGAAACCAAAAAGTTAAAAATTTTCTTTTGCAACTTTGCATTTTTGCTAGAGTAAAAGGAATACGTAATTCAATTCTTCAATTCAGTAAACTTTTAAACATTCAGACACAGGAACCAATAGCTCTAAACTATTAACATTGACAGATAGATAGATAAACAGAAAGTTAGCTAGGCAGATAGATAGCTAGACAGATGGCTAGCTAGCTATAATCAAATCAAATCAAATAAAAATAGCTAGGTATAAAAATTGCAAGCTATAAAAATAGCTAGCTAAAAATATGAATATCTAAACAGAACTAGCTAAATAGTTCTCTTGCTGAACAGATAGTTAGCTAGACAGATAGTTTGAATTGAATGCCCGTAGGAAATGTAGAGCAAACCATAAAATATTAAATACTCTTCAAACTTCTGCTTCACGGAATACATGCATAAAAGGTTTTAATATTCAATAGAAAAAATGTTCAGAATATTTGCATTTGCTTGCAGTAGTCTATCTATTGTACGAGGGTAAAATTTTGTTGAATTTAAATTCATTTTTCTCATTTTTCAGATTTTCAAATAGCTTGCAGTGATCTACAAACTGAAGTGGAATTTAACAACTATATTCAAACCAAAGATGATATGTCAATATTTAATAGACTAAACATTGTACTGATCTATCAAGAGCGCATTCATCATGAATATACAGGAAATTTCCAAATTGTTTTCAAGGAAAGTGCTAGGTCATTGCCCTAAGTTGTATCTAATAAACTTAATTAATGATTTTTAATACACCCAATATAAAGATTTCACAGTTGCTTCAATTTTAAAGGAATATGGGTCAAAATTATGATAGCTTTCGTCTCAGCATGTATCAATATATTGGCGCCAGGAGCACAAGAAGGGGGGCAGGCAATAGGGGATAGACCCCCCTAGCCTGATTAAGGGGGCGGAGCTCCACCCTTGAGAAGGCTTGCCCTTCCTGTAGGGGGTGCAAGAAGTCCTTAACAGGGGGCCATAAAGTTCCAAAATAGCATATTTTCTCGAAAGAACAAAATATGCCCCCACAGTAGTTGTTTGTTTAAACGAGACTCTCATTTATAAAGCAAACTCATATTTCGTTTAAAAATGTCCCCAAAATTGGATTTTTAAAATTGCACTCACACTTTCTTATTCAAATTGCCTCACCAGAATTTAATTTTGCCCTTTATTCGACATTTATAACCCATAGTTTTTAAGAATGCCATCAAATATTTTTAATATGCACCTAAATTTAATTTTTGATCACCCAACTTTAAAATTTACAGCCCTATCTAAAAAAAAAGGCCCCTACTTTTTTAAAGATAATACTCCAAAATTAAGAAGTTTTGCGCCCAACACAAAATAATTAAAAATAAATAAATAAAAAATAATTAGATTAAAAAAAGCCTCTTCATAAATTTTGACAATGCCCTTAAATAAAAAAAATTGAGCAGAAATGTTTAGAAGGGAGGGGGCAGGGCAAAAAAAATTTAGCGCTACGCGAGAAATACTTGCACCCCCCTTGCTAAATGTCGCCTGTCGCCTGATTGGCGATCTTGATAATTGATTGAAAGATGACCTTTAATCCCACCCTACTATTACCTGTCAGATTAGTGTAAGGATTAATGGTTGCTCCAGGAACATTATATTGACGAGCAAAGTTCTCACAATCATGAATAAGAGTTATAATAGCGGTAAACTCCTTATCTGCCTCCCCGAGGGTTGCCTTGAACTGCGCATGCGCATCAATCAGTCCCTGGATCTCGTCCAAGGTGTGGACGATGAACATATCGACCAGGTCCTCCCTAGTTCCGTCCAACCAGTTGTTAAAGGGCGCAGCACGCTTGGCAAACTCAAGATGAAGGCTGTCAACTCTCTCGAGAACCTTCTCTGCCTCGTCCATACCGTGCCTACGCTGCTGGGTGAGTGTGCCCAACCTGTCCCACTGATCACAGATCTTCTGGCACCTGAACACACCAGGTGTGATTAAGATTACCAAGTAAAATTTGACGGGGAAAAAATTAATTTTAAATTGACCCTCCCCTACATGACCATTTAAACCAAAAATTCTTAAATTATCTCCATAAACTCGTTAAAATCGTTTCTGAAAAAATCCTAGAATCAAATATTTGCTACAAAAGAACTGCAGAAATAAAAAGCTCTGTGGCTAGAAATCTCAAGTTGGAAATGATCTTTGTTTAAAAATTGTGGAAGAAAGAAAGAACCCGATTTTGCCTGAAGAAATGTTTTTGAAAAAGATTAGAAATTTTATGCGTAATGGATTAATGTAAATTCTCTTTCAATAAAATTCCCCGAAAGTATGCACATTGCACACATTTCCAAGAAGAAGCTAAATGGAAGTTCTTAACCAAACATTTCCAAGGAAAATTGAGTTAATGAAAATTATCAGCAAGTACTCTTCATCATTTGAATCTAGAAATTATGAGTTATCAGAATTACCTAGTGTTAACGGCGGCGCTGTCCCAGTAGTCAAGAGCATTTAACTCCTGAGCGATTGCAGCAATCTGCTCTACACGATCCTAGAGCATTTAAACTTTTTATTTCAAGAGCATTTAACTCTTGAGCAATGGCAGATTTCTGCTCAACACGATCCTAGAGCATTTAAACTTTTTATTTCAAAAGCATTTAACTCATGAGCAATGGCAGCAATATGCTCTACACGATCCTAAAGCATTTAAACTTGTTATTTCAAGAGCATTTAACTCATTAGCAATGGCAGCAATATGCTCTACACGATCCTAAAGCATTTAAACTTGTTATTTCAAGAGCATTTAACTCCTGAGCGATTGCAGCAATCTGCTCTACACGATCCTAGAGCATTTCAACTTGTTAGTTCAAGAGCATTTAACTCCTAAGCAATGGCAGCAATCTGACGATTCTAGAGCATTTAAACTTGTAATTTTAATAGCATTAGCATCTGAGCAATTACAGTAATCTGCTCTACCAAATCCTAGAGCATTTAAACTTACAAAAATATACTTAATTATGGCTATACATGGGGCTGAGTAAATATGAATTAAATTTACCGAGCTAAAAGGATTAATTTTCGAAAAAAATTTAGAAATTAAGTAGAAGAAATCAGACAAATTTAAATATGACGAGAATTCAAAAAGAAATTTAGTTTAAAAATAGATTTATGTACCTGATGTGCGGCAAGATCAGACTCGAAAGCTTCGTGCTTCTTCTTCATGGCCTTGAGCTCAAAGATTTTGCAGTTCTTGTAATCCTGCAGAATTTATTTTTACCAATAAAGTACATAATATAAAGTACACGTTGTGTTGTTATATTGGGAAGTATTTTGCATATATTTTCTATCTGGGTCAAAGTTTAGAATAGTGTAAGAAAAAGCAAATTCATAATATACAGATCTTAAAATTTTAAAAATTTTCTGATTTACAACTATACTTTTTTAAACTACACTTTTTACAACTATAATTTACAGAGAACGGGCATTTTTCTTTCGCAAGGGTTTATGAGACCAATGCTGTTTTCAAAACATCCAGAGTGTAACGATGGATGCTTTGTGAGCAAAATGGATCATGGGAGCCCACTGTTGGGAATATCAAGGGTTTTTAATGTTAACCTGGGAGCTGAGCATCTCCTCCTTGCCACTAGTCCAGGCCTCGTGGATATCAGCCTTGTGCTTGAACTTCTTCGCCAGATGTTCAAGTCTCTCCAAGCGCATAAGTTCAGCAAGAAGCCACTCCTCGAATGTCTTCTCTGACCCCAGAAGTCCGTTCCAAGCGCGCTGGATGTCAGTGATAAGCTTACCCTCAGTGGGCATATATGCTGGTCTGAACAAGAAAAGATAATTATAGTAATTGAAAATTCAGGAAAATAATTAATTAATAACCCCCCCCCCCCGCCCCAACTTGGGAAATAATTACCCCTCTTTTATATTATTTTTCCCATAAAACAAGTTTTTAACTGTTGCAAGTGCTAACTAAGTACCTGTTTGAAAGCCTAAGCTTGGTCTGAAGAGTGTTAAAGTTGGTTTCAAGCTTTGCCTTCTGCTCAACACGTGGGGGCTTGTGCTTACGTCTAAATAGAAAGATAAATAGATAGATAAATGGATAAATAGATAAATAAATAAATAGATAAAAAGAGAAATACATAAAACTGATAAATAGATAAATAGATAAATAGATAGATGGTGGAAATGTATAGAAATATGGAGAGTAGAAAACAAGAAAAAGATATAAAGCTAAAAAAATTAACGAAGAGAAAAACGATAGAATTTAGGATTTGATAAATGTAAACAACAACAAACCAAAATATTGTCTAATATTACCAATACATAGTGTAACTGTACTCCATGCACTGTTTGAATAGTGTACCTGTACTCCCTGTACTAGATATATAGTGTACCTGTACTCCCTGTACTAGATATATAGTGTACCTGTACTCCCATGTACTGTTTTAATAGTGTACCTGTACTCCCTGTACTGTAACTTTAGTTTACCGTATTCCCTGTACTAGATACATAGTGCACCTGTACTCCCTGTACTGTATCTATAGTGTACCTGTACTACCTGTACTGTATCTATAGTGTACCTGTACTCCCTGTACTCTTCCAGTTTCTTCTGTACAGCTGTCAATGAGTTCCCGGATTGTCTAGACTCCAGCCAGGGCAGGGTTCGCCTAGACAAATAAAATTAGAATAGAATTTGATGCACCAAATTGTGAAACCTAAATGACCACAAACAACAAAATATAAAATAAATATATTTCTTTCGCAAATACTTTGCTGTTCGGTTTGTATTCATAATTTTTCTATTTTTAATTCAATTAATTCATTAACATTTTGAAATTTGTTTAAATTTAGAATAAACAATGTCACATTTTTATTTAATGCATTAATTTCATCAGACGTGAGTGCACATAAATCTTAAATTTTATCTTAAAAGGAAGATTGAATACGACAAATTTATTCAATCTTATAAATCGAAGAATAAAATCTATTTATTTTTTAAATGTTTAAAATGTTAACAATTTTTTTTCAAATATTTAAATCTTTTTAATTGTTAATAAGTTTACATAGTAACTTCTTAATAATTTGTAATTTCGAGTGGCCCCCATTTAGAGAGTTACATGGCCGAAATCCAAACGGGACGTGATCATGTTTTGAACAGAAAAATGTAGATATCTTAATTCTTTTTCTTTCGCTAAGGTTCAAGTGTATCGAATTATTACCTCCCTCTTTAAATGAAAAGTAACTTAAAATTACTTGTACAGTCCCTTTAATTAAGTACCTAATCCACTCCAGGAGATCGGAGGCCAGCCTCTCGTACTCCTCCATCAACCTCTCGTTGTCCTGGTTGACCTTGAGGACCTTACAGATCCTGTTTGCGGCCATCTCAGCCTGGAGTATAAATAAAATATATCTTTCACAGCTTTTAATTGAATTTTTTTTAAAAATGGAAGACGACCGGGGGCGAAACTTTTGTTTGGTTTAACGACTTTATTCGATATCAACCTAACAAACATTAATTTTGGAGGATTTATCGGGAAAAATTAATCGCTGCGGACATCCAGCTAATCCGATGGGAAAGGAACCGTCTTAGCTCTGAAGGCAAAGCTTTAACTTTAGATACAAGAGTTTCTCCCTCAGTTAGAAAAAAGAATCCAAATATTATGGACATTTTGAAAATCAAACTTTGCAGTCTTCCACTTCAAATAACAAATGAAGAGGATGTAAAGGTAACATAAAAACTACTAAATAACACTCTAAAATCTAAAAACAAAATTTTAATTAGTAAAATCTAAATCATGAACACCAAAGAATGCAATTCAATTCCTGTAATTTTATAGTTCAATAACCCTTTTCAATCTAATTACCTAATTTTCCATTATCATAATCCCCTTTTATAGGCTTTAAACAAACATCAAAAACCTCAGCTACTCCTGGAGCTAATAAGCTAATCCTCAGCTACTCCTGGAGCTAATAAGCTAAACCTCAGCTACTCCTGGAGCTAATAAGCTAATCCTCAGATACTCCTGGAGCTAATAAGCTAAACCTCAGCTACTCCTGGAGCTAATAAGCTAAACCTTAGCTACTCCTGGAGCTAAAAAGCTAAACTTCAGCCCTCCAGAAGGTATCAGCTACACAGCTTTCTACTCCAGGAGCTAATTAGCTAAACAGCTACTCCCGGAGCTAAACAGCTGTTTCTGGAGCTATCAAGTATCTCAGCTACCATCTTTAACCTAATCGTAGATATTCTGGACGCCAGTTCTCTACAGGTTGAATCTAGCTATGCCCCAACTAGCCTTCACTACAACTGATCTCTTCAAATGGCCACTGGCCAGCCTTACACAAGGTTGATCATGACGTAGAGAGGGGGCAGATTAGAAATTCAAAAAACATCTATTGGGGAATAATGATCAATCATCACCAGAACTCCTTCTATTCCTTTTCCGTGAACACTTACAAGGAGATAATTATCAGTCTCAACTCCCTCTATGCTCTAGACTTAGGAGGGACTTCTGTTGAGGATGAAATCCCCAAAAGAGGGTTACAAAATCCGCAAACCAGTAGTGTAGGATACTGTATTTATATCTAGAAGTAGAAGCAATAAATGTACTTCTAAACTCCCACTTTTTCCTACTTCTACAATTATAACACCCCCCCCCCCCCCCTATAATTATTACCCACCCTCTATAATTATTACCAACCCCCTATAATTATTACCCCCCCCCCCTTCCCACCTTTATACCTTTTGTGCCCCTGAGAAGGTATGATAGTATGATGAAACGCAGGTAATAACAGCTCTATCATCAGGCATTGCAGAGCTCGACAAATCTAGGGTTAGGTTAGTACAACACACAGCTAGTAGGTCAACACAGGGGTCATTCAGTGATAACCAGAATACTCTGATATGGGAAGACGACTTTTAGACTTAAGTTATGACTTTAAATAGTCCACTGAACATGAGACTCGCCATTGAGCTGTGTAAACAAACTCAATTTACTTAATAAGGGATTTAAAAAGGATCTAGTTAAACTAATTGCTTTGTAACAGCATAAAATACACTTAATTATTATTTTATTGTCGTCTTCCTATTCCATTGTTTTCTAGTTCTCACTATACATAGAGTCAGACTTTGAGAAGATTGTAAACATTTTTTAAATCTGCATCAGAGGTGCAACTGGGGTGTAATGTAAGGGGGGGGGGAGTCATTTACTGTTGAAGATTGACAATCCCGCAATTGAAATTTGTTAAGTGAAATCTTTGAATTTTTATGGTATTTCCTCTTTATTGGTCTCAAATTTTTCCTGTTCAAGGGAATGTGAACCTATGCTCCCCCCATTCACCCATAATTACGCCTCTGATTTTTTTGATTTTTTTTAATAGAACATCAAGCTAATGTGTCATTTAAATTTAAAACATTTGCCACAATAAATTAAAATCAGAGTAAAAATGTCGTCTTTAAAGTCTCATCCTATGTGGTTAACCCTGTTAATGTACACTGGGAAAAATCAGGGTTGAAAAATATTTTAGTATGTAACACAAAATAAATTTTAAATAAAAAATAAGCCGCAAAATAATATCAGTTTTGTTCTTTAAAAATGATAAAACTTAGGTTTAAAATCCGGACATTATTCTAATGGTGAATCATCCAACAAAATACCTTCCAACTTAAAGAGACAATTAAAGTATAAATGTATTTTAAGAGTGAGTCAAAAAAAAAAGAAACCATAGAAACCTCCTTACTCCTGTAAGTTACTAAAACTTGGCAATTTAAATTAAAAAAATTAAAATTAGTAGAAAATATAATAACTTTCCCTTTAATTTTGTAACAAGGTATTTAGGAGTTGTGATACTTAAACATTAACTCGTTGCATTTTAGAATTTAAATCCCGAGTTTGTATTCTCCTCTCATCAAGTTTAAATTAGATTAAATACAGGCTCATACAGAATATTAGAATACTTGCAATATTCTGCAGTATTTATGCAATATATTGTACTGTACAGATTACTAGTACAGAGTACTGTACTGTACAGATTAATAGTTCAGATTACTGTAGTGTACAGATTACTGTACTGTACGGGTCACTGTACTGTACAGGTTACTGTACTGTACAGGTTACTGTACTGTACAGGTTACTGTACTGTACAGGTTACTGTACTGTACAGGTTACTGTACTGTACAGGTTACTGAACTGTACAGGTTACTATACTGTACAGATTACTGAACTGCACACAAAACGGTAGTGTACAGATTACAGTACTGTACAGATTACTGTACTAAATTTTATCGTGATGAAATTTAAGTACAATGACCTTTAAGATTTATTATTGGCAACATACAAATAAAAAACAAATGTCACGCAAAAAAAAGTGAATGCCAAATTTAACTTCTAATCTAATAACCTTTACAATATCTAGATAAAACGCAAAATCCTGACCTAGACGTAACATTTTATATTTTGAATTTGATTTTCTAGTTTTATTTCTTATATTTTATACACGGTAAGGCAAAGCTTTAAAATATTTGTTAGGAAAGTGACAACTTAAATCCGAGTTTAGATCCGAGTTTAAAGTTAAGAAACTAAATTTGATATTTGATTTCTATTTCATTGTTTCAACTTAAACCAGGGAAAAGACTTGTTACAAACTACAATTCATGTTCAATGCTTAAACTAGGTAAACAAACTTTAATTAGTTTAAACTTTAGTTTTAGCCCACACAAATAATAACTGTTTGATTAATTACAATAAAATGTTGAATTAGCTGAATAAATCTGAAATTAAAAACTGTAGATTAGCATGCAAGAACTAACAGCAAACACAGAATGGGTGGCGGGGTTGGGGAGTTAGATAACCGTCGTCATGAAAGGTTTTCTTACCGGCATGGAGGGGGGGGGGGTGTCTACCTGCATTGCCCCTTGGAAGGCATGATAATAGCAAGAGACGTATGTCATGATTTGACGTTCGTCCGGCTTCTCGTTATTCAACAAGTCTAGGAGTAGGAGTAGTGTACTAGAGGTAATCTAGGAGTAGGAGTAGGAGAACTAGAGGTAAACTAGGAGTAGGAGAACTATAGGTATAATAACAGTAGGTGGAAGAGAACTAGAGGTATACTAGGAGTAGGAGTAGGAGTAGTGAACTAGAGGTATACCAGGAGTAGGAGTAGGAGAACTAGAGGTATACTAGGAGTAGGATTAGGAGTAGTGAACTATAGGTATACTATGAGTAAGAGTATGAGAACTAGAGGTATACTAGGAGTAGGAGTAGGAATACTAGAGGTATGCTAGCAGCAGGAGTAGATAACTAGAGGTATAACAAGTAGGTAGGAGAACAAGAAAACCATTGAAGAAAATATAACAGACGCAAATCGCGACCAGGAATTTGGAAACGGAGAAAATTAATTTTAAACTCTTTTACATTAATAATACACATTAACCCTATTTAGCTTGACGTCTCGTTTACTGACTGGCTGCCTTGGGGGGGGGGGGGGGGACAAATTTACCCCCCCCTCTATTTTTTATTGTGATGCAAATCTATAACATTTGATATGTTTTCGGAATGCCCTTGGGCTCTACTTACTGCAATAATCTGCCAAAAAAATGGCAAATTTGCAAAACCCCAAATATTTATTGCGAAATCTAGTTAAAAAGCAAAAAATGCGCAAAATACAATAAACTATTTTTGAAAAGCCCTTGACCCCTCGAATTAAAATGTGCAAAAACATTTGCAAAATTTTTAAAACCTAAATGTGCATTCAAGAAAAACTGAAAATGTACAAATTCCCTTTAAAGGCGTCTGTGCAAAAATCTGTTCAAAATTTCTTTGCAAAATTGTGCAATCTGCTTGCTTTTGTTATAGGCTTTCCCAGGAGCTATAAAATGTTGAAATTCAATGACTGGAAGTAGGTCTAAATAAAGATATATTCTGGTATAGGTAAAATGCACTAAGGCAGTTTGCCTGAGGACTCAGTAGGTATAAAAGCCCAGCTTTTAGCCTTAAGTGAAAGGCATGGTTAGAAAAGCCTGAAAACAATTTTAGAGTAAACCCCCCTCCCCCAGGCCAAATAGGGTTAAAGGAAACCCGACAAGGAATGAAGGACGAGTAAACAGTGTTTGTATTATTACCAACACAAGTTTGATAAAAGAGTTTAATGTCATTTTTGTAATGTTTATTTTTCGAAGAAAAAACACTTATCTATTTTAAATAAACGTGAAAATTTACTGTAACCTAACAGTTTTATGAGTTATAAAGTTATCAAATAAAATGCGAATATAGTTTTATAAGTTTAAATATATACGCGCGCATTTTCAAACTGTAAAATAAGTTATTATGGCGGTTCTTAGAAAAAAGTGGCGGGAAAATATGACTTACCTTCGGGATCCAACATCTTAGGTATATCAAGATACTTCTCGGCGATATCGAAGGCGAGGTTTAAGTTCTCGAGAGGATTATCCTAAATTAAAATGATTATTATAAAAATATCTTCTTCTTCTCAACAACTTTATTCAGTATCAAAAAAAACATATTAGCCATACCATACTATATCTCATTTGCAAAAATTGGAGAGAAAAATTCTCTCATTATATCTTCGTTTATTATAAAAATCGGCATAACTCAAAATTATTCCCTTCGAAGAATCCCTTTCAAAAATCCTCTAGTTGCGTTCGAGAACGAAACACGGTCTCCTCACCTTAGAGAGTTTGGAGTAGTCGAGTAGATCGGGACGATGTCTATGAATGAGAGCGCAGAAGGCGAGACCGTCCCTCCAGGACAAGTGGAAGTTGTGCACGCTCACATCCTTGTAGGGAGCAGTCTTGCGCTGGCACCAGAGCAACAATCCTTCCTTGGCGGTCATCTCCTCTACAGAGATATCCTGGATTGCAAACCTGCAAATAGAAACATTTAGATTTCATAGGCTTTGAACTTTTTTAGTCTTTTAACAAGACTTATTTTCGAACTAAGCATGGGTTTATTTGTTAACCACCACTTGGCGCTTTTCATGGACAATATTCTCCCATAAAAAAAAATTCTTGTAAGTTCACTTAAAATGTTCCCCCTTTTAGTGGGGCATCACGTGACCCCAGGGAAGGTATATAAATGATTAAAAAAAAATTGTGTTGAAAACTTTTTTGTTCTTTTTTTGTACACAAAGAGAACATGTTCACAATTTAAATGGAAAATGGGCGCGAATTGCCCTAAAAGCCTAGAATATAATATATATATACATAAAAATGAATAAACCTTAAGGAACATTTAAACCTAGATAAACCAATACAATTTAATATCCGGATACTCACAGCAAATATAAAGTATTACACACCACAACTTAATGGAATATTCACGATTCTTGAAATGATTTTTATGATTCTTTTTTAAATTAATTATTATTACTAAGCAATATGTTTTTTTAATATGTAACAAAATTAAAATTTTCATTTGAAGATCATTTGCTCAGAAATATTATCAAAAATATATTCAAAAATATAGTTTCTCCGAAATTTGAAAAATCAAAACAATTGAAAATAGAAAATTAAAACGCTCCCCACCGTTGAATAAGTGAAATGTTAAATGTCTAAAGAAAGTTTAAAACTAGAAATTTATTTAAATATATTTCCGTTTATTGAGTTAAGGTTCGATATCGAACTACCACCTTCTCAATAAAGAGGAACATGAATTTCAATCTCAAATTTTAAAGTGAATTTTAAAAAGGGAAAAAATTGAATTATCTTTAAGCTAGAAAGATAAACAGTTCATAAAACTGAACATTTAGATTTTTGCTTAATCCATATAACGGGGGGGGGGGGAATACCCTGAAATTAAAGGGGGCGTTACCTGAGGATAATTGTCCAGATCATACCAAGGGTCATCTTAACGTTTCCATCAACAATTTCTAAAATAAATAATTTAAATATATATATTGGATCACGAGAAATAATTTAGGGATAAAAATTAGGTGGTTTATACTATTTTTTTAATCAGAAAAAAATATCGTCACGCCTTTTTAACGTAAATGAGAACTTTTCAGAATGTTTTTAACTTATTTGCACTTTTTGAAATGGAGGTTCAATCATATAAATTTTAAAGCCCTTTAAGTGCACTGTGTTGACAGGTTTCTACTAGTATCTCAGAAAAGTTTGTCCTTTAAAGGGACTATACACGTATTTACAGAGGTATACCCGATTCACAACTAATTGAAAAAAATTAGAAAAAAAAATTTATTTTAAAAAATATGGATCTTATTTATTCTTGATTAGGCAAAGGTTTACAGGGTACCCTTGTGAATCGGGCATGACACTCTATAACCGAAGGGCCACCTAAAATTACGTTTACAGTCCCTTTAAAATATTGTAGATAAGGTAGCCCAGCTGGTTCCAGTATAGTTGACAAAAAGTAGATTTATCACACCAGTATAAAAACAAGACGGGATGACTTTTTCTTTATAATTCTCGAGAATATTTTATATATTTACAGAAACTTTATTTATTGGAAGACGACTTTTGGACTCAAGATATCATTTTAATGAAGGACTACAGTGTTCACAAACCATTTCACTTAACTAGTGATATCTAAGGTACAGTAGGAAAAGTATTAGCGTTGACACTTGTAACCACATTAATTACGCTTAAATATTGCTTATATGTCGTCCTTCTTTTCCACAGTTTTCCTATTCTTACTGGTTATGCCCCCAATTCAGAGATGTGTTTTCTTTTGATATAATTTATGTTTTAAATCATTATAAAAATAATGTAGCATCCCCCTCCTTTAATCTCTTAAAATCGTATTGCGGGAAATTTGGTAAAAATACACCCCGGATATACTGAATATCGATGAATATATAAAACACAGATATGATAAGAGAGGTAGTCATCAAAAACTGATTTCTCATTACAATTTGTATTTTAAAGACCTTGCGAAGTTTGAAGCAACATGAAAAATTAGACTTAACAAGCCAGTTATTCCCACTTTTTACTCCAACACAGGTTTAAATTCCCAAAAATAAATATTGTTTACAAGAGAAAAAGAGTACTTCATAACTGGGTGAAAATTTAATAAATTTTTTATCAAATTCTTGCCGGAAATTATTTGTTTGAACACTATTCAACTTGAAAATATGTTAACTGGATTTCAAATATTATATTTTAGATGAAAAATAGATAAAAATATTGGGAAATTGAGAATTTAATTTTAGTTCAACATATATCGGACCTAGAATGTTGAAACAGATATTTGGAAATAAAACTTTTATAAAACTTTTATACTCAAGCTTTCAATAGAGAGAAAATATCCCTTTTCACCCTTGAAATTTTAAATATAAAAAAATACTTATTTATAGAAAAAAAGCGCATACAAATGTTTAAATTAAGTAGTATGTAGTGCCAGCGAGACCGATAAAACTGTGAGAAAAGGAAAACAACATTTTCGTAATCTTATGTAATTCAAATTCTAATTAATTAATTAATTAATGTAATTAAAATTTAAATTTAAAAATTAAAATGTAAAAATTGTGCAATTGAAATTGTTTTTAATTAAATATTTAGTCAAATATATATCTATTTATCTAAAGCATGAAACAATTTGTTTATGAATAAAATGTTATAAGAAGATTGTTGCGTTTCAACTGATATATCTATTTATCTATGTACATTTGATATTGTTATTTAGGAAATATTTTTCCCAGTAGTTAAAAAAGTTAAAATCAACTTCTAAAGGTTGCTCTTCCTATACCACTGTTTACTGGCTCCCACTGTATATAAACAGTTTGTAGAAGATAAGGAATTCAAAAATGTTTTAAACAATTATTCGTCAGAATAATGATTGTATTACAAATTACTGTTCGACTTTCGATAATTCTTTAATAATTTATTTTTTATTTTTGCAGTATTCCTTGTAATATTAAAGCTGTTTAAAAAAACGGTTTCTTTAAAGTTTATCTTTTGTCCCTTCAACATTTGATAAACACAAAAATATAAGAAAATCACATAATTTGTACTGCCTAACCTCGGAGTCAGTTCAAGCAGATTTGTGGATTTATATTCTTTATAAGCCAGTTTATAACTGAACTGGAAAAACTAATGTTTTGTTGTTAATATTGTTCTTGTTGTATTTTTTTGGATGTGAATTGTGAGTTTTATTGTTTTTTTTTGTCTGTTATTGTTTTTATTTTATTTTAGTTATTGTGGTTAATGTTGTTATTGTTATTAATGTTGTTATTGTTGTTATTGTTGTTATTGTTGTTTTTGTTGCTATTGTTGTTATTGTTGCTATTGTTGTTATTGTTGCTATTGTTGCTATTGTTGTTATTATTGCTATTGTTGTTATTGTTGTTGTTATTGTTATTATTATTGTTGTTGTTATTGTTATTATTTACCTTCTGCCCCGATGGAGACAAGTTTGACCCCCTTGCTGGCGATGAAATCTAAAGCTTTGTTTACATTGGCAATCTTGTGGAACCTCATCTTTCCCCTGAATATTATATGGTAGTAATATTATATAGAAGTAATATTTTTAGTAAATTTTGTTTTTTAAATATGCATTATCAAATTAACGAAAAAAAAATAAAAGTTAAAACTCAGAAATCACGAATAAAAAACAAAACATACATCATAAGCATTAAGCAAGGTCGGACTTATATTTTTTTAATGCATCAAGATAAAGATATTAAGATTCGCCTCGAACCACTGAAAAATTTATTTTGATATTTCTTAAATTGTCTGAAGCAAAAACGTCAGCTTTTCTGTTTTGCATTTAATTTGTTTACTAATAAAGATTTTTTTGCTCTCCACATTTTTGAACTCACTGTGAAAAACTTTACACCTATAATGATATTTATTGTTCAACTTTTTGCTTACATTAATCATAATTTATAATCTAAACAAATAAAGAAAAAAAAAACTGAATCAGTTTGAAAATTATAAGAACAAAATTAATTTCAATTATTTTGTAGACAAATTTTGATGCAAATTGGATTTTATGATTTTCAGTGAAAAAAATGCCCAATACGTTCAACCTGAATAATAGTCCATAGTAGTACAAACGTAAAAACACTTTTTATCAAAAATGATAAACAAGTGCGTACACTATTATAAATTTCTCAAATTCTGATTTTTGAATAATATTTCAAATTGCTTTTATCTTTGAACTTAATTTTGTTTAAAATCATTGAAAAATACATTTTTTTAAATTAAAAATATTGTTAACCTGTCAGGTTTTGGTAGAGTTTCTCCTGATATAACTTCAAGCAGCAACATTAACTTCAAACCATTTCTAAATAAACATTGAATTAACATTAATTATTATCATCATTAATATTATTGTTATTATTCTAATTACTTATCCCGCTTTTACCAGAATAATTCCAGAGGATAATATTATGTAAATTCTAATCCAGATTATGGCATTTATATAAATATCCTAAAAGATACAAATTTCGAAGCTTCACGCTTTTCTTTTAATTTTTCTTTCAGCATGTTGCTAATTTTTCCTTTTCGTCTAAGAGTGCAAAATTAAAAAATTTAGAGTTGTACAAAACGAACCTGAAATCCTCCTCGATATTCTCAATCTGTGTGCCAGCCTTCCTCAGGTGGGAGTTCACCCAAGCAGTAAAGGTCTAAACAATACAAGTATCATTATCATCGGTGTTATCATTTTCACAATTTTTAACACTTGCATAAAATTTTAGAATTTCATCGAAAATCATCAATAAAAATCAAAAAACATGTTCACTTATCGTAGATTATTATAACATTTTACTAAAAAGAAAACGCAGTTCTCTAATAACAAGTGATAAATGTTGATCTGTCCATCTTGTGTTTAAAATTACATACACCGTATTCCCCAACAATGGTTGATGATTAAATGAATATATATTCTTATTCGCAGGACAAATATATTCCACCATTGTTAGCCTGCCTACTAGAATATATAAATATCATTCAACTAGAGAAATGAAAATACTGGATAATTTTTCTTTCAGCAGGGGCGGCTTACGATTTTATGTCAAGGAGTGGGGAAATATATTAAATTAAATATTGTACGCGAAGCGCAGCAGATTTTTATCACCACATTGTAAAAATTTCCCCTCTTCCTCTGAAAGTTATAAAGCTTATTTGTTTATTTCTGTCACACCCCTGACGATTAAATGGCGGGACATGCAAAATTTTGTAGACTCAAATGTTAAAAATCTAACTAAAGGAACATCTTCTCTGTAGTTAAGTTCCAAATTTATCCAGATGAAGGATGTCACTGCTATTTTCCGTCTTCCCCCCCCCCTCTTCCATTTCTAGCAGAGTGGCTACCCCCCTTCACTCCCCCTTACGGCGCCACCAATAGAAACAATAAATATGGTTGAACTAGAAATGAAATCCTACAAGTAAATCCATCAGAATTCTTAGGAAAAAAGTCGAATTATTTGTCCATAAATGACAAGGTATGTCAATGAACTTATCTTGTCCCTCTTTTTGATGTTGTATTTAGTATTTAATTTCTCCACTAAAAAACAAATTAAAGACGACATTTCATCTTTTCTTACTTTCTTCTGTTGGCGTTCCCAGAGATTATCAAGGAGTCCTGCACTTTTCATGCTTACGTTCAACTCATTTATCCCGTCCTCATCTGAGGACGAGGAGGAGGAGGACGAGGAAGGCATTGTGTCCTTATAAGAACGTCCTAATACTAGATTATGTCCTATCACTTAATCGGATACTTCTCTCCAATTTCCTCTTCCTTGTAACTCTGAAGGTAGAATAAATATTTCACTGCTAAATATGTGTCAATTAAGAATTCAAAAAAACGAAAAACAAAAAAAAAACCCGAACGGAAAAAACTTAAAAGGTTTTCTTTTTCTTTAAAATGTATTTTAATCTTATTTTTCTATTTTTCGGAATTAAATCTATTTTTAAAAACATTTATATTACTTTTTGGTTTAAGTTCTTTTCTAATTATATTCTTTTTTTGGAACCATATATAAATAACGTTGGATTAAAATAAATTAAATTTATTTTTATTTTTGGAGTTAATTGATCTTGTGTCACGTGTGGGTGCTTTTCAGGCCAATATAACCAGTATATAGAAGACATTCATTGATATATCGTTTGAAATTTGATGTTTTCTGGTCAGAATGATTTTACTTGAATTAGCCTAAACACTAGTTGATATGAGTAAAATTAGAATCACATCAAATTTTTAAATGAGAATTGAGAGAAAGCAATGTCAGTATTATTCAAGATACTTTAAATACATACATTATTGATCTCTGTTAGAATTTACTTGAAGAGAGTCAAATTTTAATTGAAGTAAGCAGAATTCTGGTTAATGCAGAATCCAAGTAGTATTCTGATTGAATTGAGTGCCGGTACGTGTCTGAACGCCGGATCACTGTAATTGACGTAAGCAGGATTATGCTTGTTTCGATTTCTGATGATTGAAGTAAGTAGAATTCAAGTGAATGTAATTAGAATTTAGCGTACAGGCCGTAAATTGATATCAAGCAGAATTATCGTTGATATATTACAACGGATCTTCATGGCTTGGTGCGTGAACTAAATACTGTTGATTGTAAGCGGGTTTTTCTAACAGTGTAAGATAAGAATAAAAGATAAGAATAGTATAAATAAAAACATTTACTGAGATCAACGAAAATAGATTAAGAGGAGAAATATTTTTTCTGGTAGAGTACAATAACAGTTTTTATTTTTATGTACTGCAACTTAATTTTGATAATGCTCTATGCAAGATAGTAAAAAAGAACTGAAATATTTGTTTAGGATAGAAAGAAATCTTAAAAGTTTAATTTTAATCTACTTAGATGTAATTTGATGAAATACTCCCAAGATGATATCCATGTCTAAAAGGTTGACAAGTAATGTTAAGGTGAAGACAGTTTTTGATATCACACAGAGAGACCGGCAATTACTTCTAAATTTAACTATTTGGAGCCTGGGAACTTTTGAATGGAAGGAGGGAGCTAACTAAACCTATTCATAAATTAACCCCATTTCTATAAGAGCTAACCTAACCTTACTATCTAACCTAAGCTTATCCCGTTTTTATAATAGCTAACCTAACCGCAAATCTGACCATTCTCTGAAAATATAACTATATTCCTAAAGACCTGACCCAATTCCTACGTGAGCTAACTCAATTCTTAACCCAGGAATCTTAATCATTAAGAGCTAGCCTCAGTCCTAACAAGAGATAACCCAATAACTTGATTTGCAAATTTTGTTTAAATTTTTAACAGTTACACATTATTAGCAATTACATTCAATCCTCTCTGTTTAGCATAAAGCTATCCATGTTAAATAATATTTTGAAATTTGAGACCCCTAGATAAAATATTAGATAAACACTATTAGTCTGTGAAGTGTAATTTAGTTGATGTTAATGTGTATAGAAATGATGGAAGGGGGAGGGAGGTTTATGCTGGAGAAAATAAAGAATTTAAATGTTCATAATTATCATTTTTAGAACTAAACGTGCTTTCTGTTTAACATTCAGTCCATTATTGATTCTGATTTATAGGGACATCGTTATCAATTTATTGGGACACCCTGTTAAATCTTCCAGTACCTTGGGACACTCTGTTTAATCTTTTAGTGTCTTGGAACACCCTGCATAGACTACTAGTGTATTGGGACACCCTGTTAAATCTTCCAGTGTCTTGGGACACCCTGCATAGACTACTAGTGTATTGGGACACCGTTTAATCTTTTAGTGTCTTGGGACACCCTGCATAGACTACTAGTGTATTGGGACACCCTGTTAAATCTTCCAGTGTCTTGGGACACCCTGCATAGACTACTAGTGTATTGGGACACCCTGTTAAATCTTCCAGTGTCTTGGGACGCTCTGTATAGACTACTTGTGTATTGGGACACCCTGTTAAATTTTTCAGTGTCTTGGGACACCCTGTAACATCTACCAGTGTATTGGGACACCCTGTAAAATCTACTAACCTTTCTCTGCTGTTTCTCCCAGGCTGGGTCAAGGAGTCCCTCCCTCTCCCATTCTTCGTCTTGCTGCATGTACCCATCCTGATCGCCTTCCATGGGAGCCCCGAACTGGTTCGGGTTGGCATACTGTGCCATCTGGAACAACAACAGGTATTAAATACAAATAAATGACAAATATTTTGCCTGAAAAAAAAATTATTATCACGTTAACTTATAATAATCTAATTATGCTTTTTTAGAGGTGGGGAAAAATAGCTTTGGAGAAAAATTGGCATGATTGCTATCTCCTCTTATCAATATTTTAGCTCAAAAATACAATAATCTAACAATCTGAAGTAGGCGGTACAGTTTTTTTAAATATATAAATATTTCCGGAAAAATTGTAAACTTCAATGTTTTGAACATTTTCCGAGCAGTCTCTTTAAGGCAGACAGGGACTATTCGAATGAATACTTTCATGCCGAAAATCTGACATTTAAACATTATCCTTGAAACTGCTTTTTTCCTCTCCAGTGTCCAATATGTCATGTAATAGTCCAAACTTTCTCATTTAAACAACTTGGCCTGGAGCTAAGGCTAGAACTAGAGTTAGAACTAGAGCTAGAGCTAGAGCTAGAACTAGAGTTCCAACTTTGAAAATATGAAATCTCTAAAAAAATAAAAATTCAGATATTCACATAGTTTAATTAGAATACTAAATTGAAAACTTCAATTTCGTTTCAACGTGAATATATATATAAATGTAAATCATATATATATATATATATATATATATATATATATATAGATATTTAAGAAAGCTTACTGAAAATATTTAATCATGGCGTATTTTAGTCCTTGTCAAAAATCATGTGAAAGTTGATCATATTTTAATTAAAATTAAAAAATCTTCATAAATTCAAAAAAAAACAATATTCGGTTAAAAAAGGCTTCCATTTCTAAAATCAATTATGTGACTTTAACTCTCTCATAATAAGAGAGATGTATTGTTAAAAACACAAAAGTTGAAAACACAAAAGTTGAAACACAAATTAAGATTTTTTTGGCTCTTGGTTTTGATTTTGTAAAAGTAAAAAGTGTTCATCCAGTGCTTAGGATCCAGATTCGGATCCGTTGGTCGTTAAATCCGCATTATTTTGGCTTCTTGGATCCGGATTCGTAAAAATAAGATCCACGGATTCGGATATAAGGCGGAAAACATTAAATAAAAATCTATAAAAAACCTTTTGCACTTCTAAACTTCTAAACTATTTAATAAGGGAGATTGTTATAATTTTTTAAAAATAAAATTTTAGCATAAAAAGGGGGAAACAGTTTAAAAATTCTTCTTCGTTCTAAAAATCTAATATATATATATTTTAAGTGCAATACACAGAGACAAGGATGAGAAGGGATGAAGTAATTTTAGATTTCCAACAATATAATATAATTTTACAGGCTGGAAACTGGAACTGAATAAAAGAGAAAGGAATGAAAATAAATAAAAAACAATAAATACAAATAAGAGAGAGAATATTTTCTTACAAATTTAAAAATACTTCAAGACATATGAATCAAGCATTATCCTTGCTACTTACAAAAAGAAAATTTAAAAAAATACATTCCCGACCCCGGAGATAGAAAATTTTGTATTTTTAATTTCCTCTGTGGATTTTTTTATGAAATAAATCTTTGTTACAGAACGTTAAAAACAATCTTTGTTGACGAGCGTTGCAAACAATCTATGTTACAGATCCTTAAAAACAATCTATGTTACAGATCGTTGCAAACAATCTTTATTGAAGATCGTTATCTTTGATGAAGATTGTTGCAAAACAATCTTGGTTGAAGATTGATACACACATCTTTGTTACATGTCCTTAAAAACAATCTATGTTACAGATCGTTGCAAACAATCTTTATTGAAGATCGTTATCTTTGATGAAGATTGCAGTAGGCAGTAGAATGAAAATGAAATGGATCCTATAAGCACTATGATTTTGGAAAGAAAGATCTGTAAATTCTTAATTAAAAGCTTAGTTGGAACTTTGGTAGAAATTAAGAATAAAGATAAAATAGATAAAGATGATACTGGTTTTATTAATAGAACTGTGATATTAAAATTCTTTTTAGACTAAAAGTAGATTTTTTTATATTTTTTCAAATGACTGTTTTATATAGGAAATATGTATTAAGGATTAGAGCTTTAAATAGAATGGAGATAAAATTTCATGTGACCTTTCATTTCCAATGGCATGTCCGATTCACAAGGGTTCCCTTCCCAGATTTAGCTGCTAAAGAATGATTTCTTCAACTTTATATTATGCATTCTCTATAAAATTGAACTGCGCATTTTTTGCTACAGAAACAATTGTGACCTTAACAATGTGCATGCTAGAAAACGACGATATCCTACACATTAATGATCAGATAAAGGTTTAAAAGGGACCGTTCTGAATCGACCACGCCAATCTTTTTAAAGGAAGGTCACTTGAAATAACGTCTGAATTCCTGTTAGGATGAATTTGTATTTTACAAGAGAGTAAGAGCGATCAGCATGTATGATAGTTATGTATGTCTATGGTAACCGCACTATATTCACTGAACATTTATATTTAAACTAGAAAGTTCTGTCCTTTCAAAAATGAATTGCATTTTAACAAAATAAAAAATTGATTTCGTCTTCCAAAAAATGCACAAACTTTTTTTCCATACATTTTTCTTGCTGTAATTGTTTCAACCCTGATTCAGAATTTAAGGTCATTTACTACGGGTTCTCGAGCTTTCTAGCTTTCTAAACTATACTCTAGTAGATTATCTAGTCCAGCTAGTTCTGCCGGTCACCTAGGCTAGGCTGGGACACACCAGGGACAAGGGGCGCGCACATATTTAGAGGAGGAAAAAAGAAAATTTAAAAAAATACATTCCCGACCCCGGAGATAGAAAATTTTGTATTTTTAATTTCCTCTGTGGATTTTTTTATGAAATAAATCTTTGTTACAGAACGTTAAAAACAATCTTTGTTGACGAGCGTTGCAAACAATCTATGTTACAGATCCTTAAAAACAATCTATGTTACAGATCGTTGCAAACAATCTTTATTGAAGATCGTTATCTTTGATGAAGATTGTTGCAAAACAATCTTACTTGAAGATTGTTACACACATCTTTGTTAAATGTCGTTACAAACAATCTTTGTTGAAGATTATTACAAACAATCTTTGTTGAAGATCGTTACAAAAATCTTTGTTGAAGTATAGTTACAAGCAATTTTTGTTAAAAAACGTTACAAACAATCTTTGTATCGTTACACACAATCGCACCAAATTTTATAAGCATCGAGTATTTATAAATTTGCAACTGCAGTGGGAGGGGGGAAGAATAGGCGAAAATATAGAAGGGAGAGGTGGGGGGTAATTAGCATATTTAGAAACGAAGAATGTTTAAATTAAATAAATGACCAAGTTAAAATAAATAAACTGTTTCTGAGTAATAAATTTGTTTAGATTGAGTCATGAAATAATGGAACTCACTCTTATAATTTACAAAAAGTTTGATGATCAATCCGAACTATTTTTATCAGTCTATTTATTTATCCATCTATTCTCTCTATATTTCAATTTGTTTAGATTGAGTCATGAAATAATGGAACTCACTCTTATAATTTACAAAAAGTTTAATGATCAATCTGAACTATTTTTATCAGTCTATTTATTTATCCATCTATTCTCTCTATATGTCAATCCGAACTATTTTTATCAGTCTATTTATTTATCCATCTATTCTCTCTATATGTCAATTGTTACGCGACGCGTAATTTTCGTCACGTTCTGTTTTCCCTCGCCCCTGAATACCCTGGAGTAAAGCTGTGAAGCTCCTACGGAGTATAGTTGAGTCTGTTTCACAACAACCAAACCGGTTATAAATTGTAAACATAGTCTTAGAAACCATACTGTCTGTACACTTTTCTAGTCGTTAAATGTTGATATTTGATAAGATACCTGTGTTGTGACTTCGCCTAAGGAATATTAGGGTATTCTTTAACGATTTGTGTATTTTCTATGGTTTAAAATGAAGATTGATCTTGCTTGTAAATATCAATATCCAGTAAAATAATGAATATTTGATATTTCTTTAATTTATGATTAAATGTGTTTATATGCAAAATATTTTTGTCTCATTTAAAAGTTTAACTTGTAATTATTTTCCTTGTAATAAATAAAGTAATTGCTGTCAATCTTTTTGAACCGTGTACCCTATATCCCAGAGCGCTGGTTTACTCGAGATAAAGATATGAAATGATAGATAGAGTCGAGAGTTTGTGAGACTTTAAGGGAGTTCCGATCAACTTAAGCAGAGCATGCCAAGGTGTGATACCACAAGGAGTATCTAGATATTTTGAGCCAGTAATTTGGTCGCTTAACATCAATTAAACATCAATTACTCTATCTATCTATCCATCTATCTATCTATCTATCTATCGATCCGTCTATCTGTCTGTCTATCTATCCGTCTATCTATGTCTGATCAGTCTAACTTGCCGCAATTCTATCTATTCATGCCAAGTCATGTGCAAACATTCTGAAATTTTCCATCAAACTGTGAAATTATATTTTTAAACTTTTTAAACCTAAAAAGAAATGTTGACTCTACATTTTTTTCTAAAATAAGAATAACAAAAATATTCTTTCATTTATAAGATTTGCTTTCGAAATTTATTATTCATTTCTTCGTATAAATTTTTCCGTTTTCTCAAAATGTTAAATTCCGAGGGATAAAATTTAAATGCTAACCTCGGAAAATATGAATTTACTAGGAATTTTTAGCTCTTTGTGCCCCTCTATATTTACTTTTTTCGACCCCGTTTCTTGTCTTTTGGTAAATCGTTTTGACTCTAAATTTATATAGATTTAACTGTGTAAAAAATACAGATAGAAGATTGTCTAACAGTAATGTTTAAGCAATTTTTATATTTTAAAAAGTAAGAACAGGAAAAAATATGCCACTCCCCCCTTCAGGTTTGGTAGGGTCTATATATGATGCATATATATCAGAGGGTATGGTTCTGAATACATAAATAAATATATTCTCGATGTTCCAATACATTATATATAATATATTTTACAAAGAACAATGACCGCTGTCAAGGTCCTTTA